GTGCTAGGGAAGGGCAGTGTCACATTCATAGCTGTGGATCCAGGTGATGCAAGAGCTTTTCCCTGTCTCCTTCAGCTGCTGGAGCTGCAAAGGAAAATTACCCAGCCCCTACAGAGCACAGTCAGAAAACCAGGAGCACCACATTTTTCTGGATGTGGTCTGAATTCCTGTCAACTTTGCAGGATTCTGACCCTTTGTGGTGGCTGCAGTTGGGAGCTCCCTGGAAGCCCAGCAAGGCAGAGTTTAATATTCCTCCCCATGTAAGTATTTTCTCTCATTAAATGCTTAAGAGCTGGAGGATTTGGGAGATTAATTTTTGCAGCTGGACATTTTCTTTAAGAATGCAATTTTCCACACAATTTTCTCCTTTAACTCCCTTTTATTCTAACCCCAAGACTCACCCAGGAGAGGACTCTTCTGCAAGGTTTGGAAAGGAATTCACTTCAATCCTTTCTTTTTACATTTGCTACAGGCTTGCTTTCAGAAAACCTTGTTTCTACTTATTTCAACCCAGAAACTTGTCTCCAGTTCCAGGCAATCAACACCAAGAATCCACAACTACAAATTCATTTATCCAAAGACCTGACTGGAACAAAGCCAGACCGTGGATAGGGTTTTTTTTTAATTTAAAAGCACAAAAAAGTTCTTTACAAAACACATAAGCTGATATACACTGAACCACACACACAGCACTCAGTGACATGGCTGTGACAGGCTGGAGAATGGACTAAAATTTAGAGGAGTTTGTGCACACGGGAACACAAAGCAAGGGTGAGACTTAATTATTATCAACCTCAAACATGTGATTGAACAAGGAGCAGCTACACAGCCACTCTGTCTTTCCCCAGGTGTCACCTGGAAGAGGATGGTGGGTCCTTCACTGCAAACAGTCCCAGCCTGTTCTGGGGACACACCTCAGTAAAAGTTTTGTGTTTAACCTGTCATTGAATCCCCTGGAGTTGATGATGGCTGTTCCTCCAAATTCTGGCTGAATATTCACTTATGAGAGTTTAGGCAATGGGAAGATAAAGCCAGAAGGAAAGAGCCCCCTGACCTTCCCTGTCCCCATGTCCTCATCTTCACCCTGGCAGGCTCCCTCTCCCCTGACAAGGACTTCTCACACACTTTTTCCCCTGGAAAAGAAAAGCTTCTGAATGAAAAGGTGACATCACACAGTTCTGTTAATGCCATTTCAATGCTCAGCAGCCCAGGGGAGGGAGGCAGAGCAGAGGGGACACATTTGATTCCTCACAGCCTCCACAAGACACAACTTTGCTGCATTTCACAGCAGATTTTCTGTGCAGGCAAAGAGCAAAAGCTGGACCACACATCCTGGTTTTTAAACAAGCTTACTTTTGCCACTGCTGGTGTCAGTGGGCTCACTCCCTGATTTAAGCTTCCCACTTCCCAGAGATAAACCTGCCTTTCAAGCTGTTGATGCCAGCCTTCCCCTCCTAATCCTTCATCCCACCCTGACTTCAGAAGGCTCTCTATCATTCTCTATCACCTCCACAGCATAAGCATTATATTGCTGCAGCAAATCCCACTTTAACAGTGATTAAAACATACAAATAAGAGACATTTCATTTGAAAGATCCCAGGAAATGAGTTCTCAAAAACCACAGAGCGATCCTGTAAGAAGCACAAAATTGGTCCCTAAAGAACTTCCCTGTATTTCAATGTGGAGAATTTTATTTATTAATACATTCATTCTCATGCCTCTGCTTTAACACAGTCATGCTGGCTTCAAGCAATTGTTAAGCCTCACACAACTTCTTCTTTGAAGGGATGGGAGGCGGGGGAAAGAAAGAGGGAAGAGTGATTAAAATTAGTCACAAGGAATCCTATAAATACACCCGTGGATGGAGGAAGAAATCTCTCTTCTATTTAACTTAAAAATAGAGGGCTAAACTTTAAAAGACAAGCAGATGGAATGAAGCAATGATAAAACAGAGCTTAGAGAAAGTCAATTGGGCAATTTAGTCAGGGATCTGCACTGTGGGGTGGCAGAGGAGGGAGGAAGAATCTTGATTATCCAAAATTAATTCCTGAGTTGGGAAAGCAAGAACGAGAAATTTAAGGGAACCTATCTTAATGCAAGAGGAATCAAATCTCAGAGGCAGTATGGCACAGAGGGATAATGTGAAAAAAAGAGATGCCTGGACAGGAAATGATGCATTTGTTCCAAATGTTCAGCCTGTGGCAGCAAGGGCTGGAACAGCATCACAAGACCTGTGTGTGTGCACCTGCAACTGGAAGTCACGGGGATGTGCTGGAAAAAACTGCAGATACACCCAGTGAGGTGAAACAGCAACCAGAAACTCTCTAAACACTATAAGACACATCTGCTGGCCACATCCAACCTGCAGGGTGAGGACTTTAATGAAAACACAGAGGAGAAAAGCAAAGCTTCTGAGGGATGCTGGCTCAGGGATGTTTTCAGGGATGTTTTCCCCCTCTCAGTGCTCACAGCCTGGCTGTGCCCCACTAAACAGCCGGGGCCAACATGAATACATTGTCTAAAAGTACTCCAGGTTCTTTGATAAGAACACAATAAAGACGTGGAAGGGATTTATCAACACTTCCCTTCTTGCAAAAATCGGAATGCAAACTAGAAACAGACAAAAGAAGCCTCACAAAGTGCAGATGGGAAAACGCCACACGAGATAACTGCAGTGGGACAGTGCCAAGGGAAGGAGATGCTCTGAGACAGAGTGCAGGAAAAGGATAAAGGTCACAGGTTGCTACACGGAAACCACAAAAGTGTGTGTTAGAAACAGCACTGGTGGGACCTGTCCGGGCCGGAGCTGAGAGCAACAAGCGGCACAACAAACAGCACAACAAACAGAATAACAAACAGCACAACAAACAACTCCCTGACCTGCCTTTACCGGGCAGCCCCAGGCACCGAGCGCCAGGTCTGGGGTCCCACAGCGGCCACCCCAAGCGACAACTGGGGCAGGCAATGACAAAGGGCTCTTACTTTCGTTGGGCAGCTCCTCCCGATCCAGCTCATCCAGAGGGGCTGAGGCGCTGCTCCCGCTGTCGTCCAGGGTGAGGATCAGGGGAACATCATCGTCCATGCTCACCGCCATGGCGTCCCTTGTGCGGCTCCTGCTCACGGAGCTTCCAACAGCGCGTTCTGCAGCTCGCTGGGGCAGCGCAGGGTCAGAAGCTGTCCCGGCACAGTCCCCGCCCGGGGCTGTGTGCTGGACACCGGGACACGGCACTGCGCGCACCCATCTCCAAAGGCAGCGCAGGACTCGGGACTCGATGGATCCGTGCCAAGCTCAACTCACAGCGCGGGGCTGCCGATCCCGGCCGGCGCTCGGCTCGCAGCACGGCGGGGACGCAGCAGGGACCGATCCTCGGGCAGCTCCTGACCCCGCGGCACCGGGAGCGGCGGCCGGGGCCAGCATGGCGCTACGCGTGCCGGTCACACATGGCTCCGTGCCCCGCCGTGCCCCAGCCCCGGCACCGCAGCTAAGGGAGAGAAGGCGGGAGCGCCGGAGGCCGCCGGGAGTCCGCACACATCAAGTTCCCGCAGGGCTATTTTAAACTGCGCGATGCCACAAGGTCACGGGTTTCTGTGAAAGGTGAGGGAAAAGGAAAATGAAGCAGGCCCAGGACAGCGCCACGGGGACACTTCACAGCCGCTGTCCCTGCCCAGGGAGAGGGACACCGGCACGGCGCTGTCACCGCGCTGGGGAGGCCCGGCCCGGCGCCCTCCCCGCGCCCTCCTCCCCGCCCTGGGTGAACCTTCTCCTCACCAGCCCCCCGTACCCGCGGCCCCGGGACTCTCCGGACCCTCCAAACCCTCCCGGGACCACCCGATCCGGCCCGGGACCCCCCCGCACCCCCGGCCCGGGACCACCCGATCCGGCCCGGGACCCCCCCGCACCCCCGGCCCGAACCGACCCCGCCGAACCGGCGCCTGCAGCGACGCGGCTCCTCCGCGCCCCGCCCCTCGCCTCCCATTGGCTGCTACAGAGCGGGTCCCGCCTCTTGGGGCGGGGCCTCCCCGCTCCCGCCAATCCGCGCACCGCGCCTGCCCCCACCCCTCCGCCAGAGGCTCCGCGTTATTCCCGCCTCCCCGCCCCAGCTCATGCACTCCGCCTCGCCATTGGATAGAAGCGCTGTCCTTCAAAACAGACGGGGGTGCTGATTGGTCTGGGAGGGCGGGGCCGGGCTCCGGGGGAGAGAAGCGCGGGCTGCCATTGGCTGCGGCGAGGCCCCGCCCCCGGATCGGGGAGGAGAGGAGCGGTCACCGGGGCAACGGCGGAACGCGGGCGGGAGCGGCTCGGGGAGCCTGAGGGGACCCGGCCCGGGACCCCAACCGCTCCCAGGATGGGACAGCCGCCTGTCCCCGCTCCGGATGGACATGTCGCTGTTGGCAGGCCCCACTGGCGGTAGGAGTGAGTCGGGCCCTGAGTGCAGTAGGTGCTGTGAGGGTACCCAGGAGCACTGGCTCTCGGGAGGCCCTGCAGGACATGATGCATGTTAAGGTCAGGCTGTTGCCTCCTGTTAGCACCTGGCTCCTGCTAGCTGTGCTGGTTTTTGGAGTGTATCCGCTCCATCCCAGCGCTCTGCTGATTTCAGTGGAAAGCAGCCCTGCAGGAACTCGACTTCAACCCCCAAGTAAGCAACAAGTCAGGGTGGAGTCAAAGGTGGAGAGTGAGATTTATGTCAGTGCTGAGCAGGCAGAAAAACGAGAGCAGCAGCAGGGAGGATTCTCAGGTTGATTCAGGCCTCTGCATCAACAACTCTAGCCTGAGCTGAGCACCAGTGACACCGGATAGGCTGGATCTGGAGGTAGGAAACAAGTGAACATTTCCCCCACCTCATTTTATTCAGATTTAATGTGGGCTTTTATCCACACAAACACCAGCAGTAACAGAGCAGCTTTTGCTGTCATACTGGGCTGCACAGCTCTGGCAGAACAAGAGGAGGACAGGGCAACAGTAAAGCACCAATGTGAGTGACAATTATGGAACAAAATGCAAACAACCCATTTATACTTAAGCAACGTTGTCTTCATATGTAAATAGCAAGAAAGTGCCAGTTCTGACCTCCTGGAAGCCCTTGGTGACAACCTGGGCCAGTGTGGGACAGGAAAGTGTGGCTGATGAGACGGGCTCTAGTTTCTCCCACTGATTCCTTGGACGCTGCACACAGCAGTGGGGGTAAAGTGGCCAATCCCGGCCACACAGGCCACAGTCAACTTGATTTTCAGATAAAAATCTCTCCTTACTTTTAGAGGCTTCCTCTTCCAAGGACTCCAGCTCTCCGAGATTGCTTCATTTCTCTGCTGCTTAGATTCCAGGGCTGTTCCCCCAGTTTGCTGAGGACTCGCCTGGCTGGATCTCTCCTGGCTGCTGCTGGGGAACAGCATTCCTGCTCCGGTGTCAATCCTCAACCCTCTTGTCTCCACCTAGTGTCCAAATCACATCCAGATTCTCTCCCAGCCCAGTGAGACCTGCAGCCTTCACAGCTTGCCCATCACTGTGCCCACATCCCAAACACAGCTGATCAGGCTCACATTGACACCAGCACTCCCAACCCCTCCTTTGAGAAGGCCACAATTGTTTGATGTCCCTCCAATTTTACCCCAGGGGGAGAAGAGCTGCTGGATTGTCTCCATGGGAAACTTAGGGATATATCTGAGAGCTTGGAGCTAATCACAAGGATCCTCACTCACCTTCTCGGGTTTTAATAACATCAGTTTATTCTTGCTTCCTGTCAGGCCAAGAAATGAGCAGAAATTCCTCTCAGGGCAGGTTCCTGGCTGGCTCCAGCTCCACGTGCTGGAGTGGGTCAAGGCCCAATCCCCCTTGCTCAAAGTGCAATAAAATCATTTCTGGGGGCAGAATGATGCTCTTAACATGGCTTGGTGTCATTGGGTGAATTTGAGTGTTTCCCTTGGCATGGGAGTTACCAAATTCCCAGTAACCTCAGCAGCTCCTCACCACAGCCTCCCTCCCCAGGGAGCAGTGACTGCAAACTCAAGTCCCCCACCCCATGTCCTTTATCCACCTCCACACAGACAGAGCTGCTCTTTCCCACCTCAGCAAAGGAAGTGGAGGAGCTTTGGAGCTGCTCAGATCACTCAGCAACATCCCACAGATCCCAGATTTGGCGACACCGTGGCACTGCTGTGAGCACCTCACAATCCTCAGCACCAGCCACACAATTATGGATCTACTCAGCACCTCCTCATCACCACGAGCTGCCAAAACCCCCGTGCTGCAGATCCTTCTGTGTCACAAACCCCATCCAGCCGGGGACCATCCCACTGCCAGCAGCATACAGGGCAGCGCTTTCCTCACCTCTGTGCTCATCCTCCCTGGTCCTGCTTTGTCAGAGGAGTCCATAAGGCGTTGGTGACACAAAGCAAGGACAGCAGGGAGACACCAAGGCACATCCTGTGCATAGAGGCAGAGGGAATGGAGCTCAATTCCTGGAGAAGGGAACCTTTTGGGGGACCTCAGAGCAGCCTCTCCATACCTGCAAAGAGGAGGCGGCCATGAGGGTTGGGCCAAGGTTTGTGCTCAGGTGCAGAATGAGAGAACAGACACAAAATGAAACTAGGAAAGCTCTGACTGGATAAAGGGAGAATTTTCATTGTCCCTGAGGACAGTGGAATAGTGGAAAGGAGGCCGGAGAGGCTGTGCAGCCTCTATTCCTAGGGGTTTCCACCACCTGACTGGACCTGCCGTGAGCAGGGATGTCCTGCATTCCCACAGGAGGATGGAGCAGGACTGCTCTCGCCACACGTGGTCAGCCAAGGTCCTTGTCAGGGTCCCCAGACCTCAACTGCCCTCCGAACTCACCTGGGACCCCACCCCAGCAGCACCCCCTGTGCTGGGAGCTCCATGGAGCTCAGCCCCTGTGTGACCCATGGAGCTACACTGCCCATGTACCTGTGCCTGGATGGGACTGTACTGCACTGCAGGCACTCCTGTCTCCTGCTGCTCCAACTTCCCAGCTGGATTTCCCAGACAGCAGGACCCTCCTCTGACAACCACTGGACATCACGGGGAGCAGCTGTTCCCACCAAGGCTGTCCCACCCTGGCGCTGTGGGGTTGTGCCCTGAACAAGGAGGGCACTGCCCCAGCACTGTGGTCACCTTTGGCTCCTGGCTTGTCTTCCAGCATGGAACAGCCCCATCCTTTGCTTCCAGCCATGGAAAAGCCCAGGGTCCTTGTGGGCTTGGTCACAGGGAGGCCTCAGGTAGACTAAGGCTGTATGTACATCCAGAAGGACACTTGGCATCACTTCCAGGGGGGTCTGGCTTTGCAGCCACCTGCTGCCTTGGCATTGTGGAGCACAGGAGATCCGGACACGCTGTTGGACCGACCCCTCACCAGAGGGCCCTGGTGGGTAGCAGGGGTGGTTGGAGTGCTCTGGTTCTTCCACCTTTCTGTGCCGAGGCTGGAAGGCATGCGAATCCTGTCTGGGGGGGTGCTCAGCCGGCTGACAGACTGAGAACGCCCTCTGCCAGGAGCACCCCAGCCTTTGGAGCAAGCATCGCTCCTGGGGTGCCTCCAGCCACACAGCTTCTCCTTGTGGCTGGGCTCAGATGGGGCCGGAGGTGCAGAGGCCGGTGGGTGGACGGCTCGCAGGGGAGTCCCGGTGCAGTGCGGGGAAAGGGCAGGCTGGTTTCGGGGAGCAGGCGGGGGGCTCCAGAGCAGCGAATGGAGCTTGGCCACATCTTCCTTCCTCATCCGCGGAGCTGCCCAGGCAGGACCCTGCGGCTTGGCACCAAACAGCGACTCGTCACAGAAGGACGGAGCGTGGCTTCGGGACCTTGGAGGGCGACAAGCGAAGAAACACGTGTTGGTTACAGCGGGGGAAATGAGAGCGGGAGTGACCGAGAGCCGGCGGGGCAGCCGAGCCCGGGCTGCGGGAGTCAAGGGGCTCCATAGGGCGCCCCAGGGACACCGACGGGGAGCGAGCCCCGAAACCCGCGACAGCGGAGATCCGAGCAGCGCCCCGAGCCACCGCTCACCTGCACTGAGTGCCGGGCCGGGAGCCGCCGGCTGAGGGAGCCGCCGGAGCCGCCCAGGGCGGAGGGAAGGCGGGCGGCGGCGGGCGGGCGGCGGCGGGGCGGCCGAACAGCGACTCGTCCACGAAGGACGCCCGCACCCGGCGGCGGCCCCGGGGACCCCGCGAAGGGCGGGCGGCGGTGCCCGCGGAGCCGCCGGCCGGGGCCGGGGCCGGGGCCGGGGCCGGACCCGCCGCCCGCATGGCCGCGGCCCCGGGGCGGGCACGGAGAGGGCCCGGCCCCTTCCGGCCCCGCCCCGACACGTGGATCCGCCGCCGGTACCGACATGGCGCCGCGCACCCGCCGCCAGCCCCGCGGAGCGCCGGTACGGGGGACGGGACGGGACGGGACGGGACAGGACGGGAGGGGAGCGAGGCGGGCCCGAACGAGCTGTGTCCCTGCCCCCCGTGCCGCTGGGCCCGGTACTGCGGCCCCGGTCTCCATGTGCCCATGTCCACAGTACCGGTATCCTTAGTGCCAGTATCCCCAGTGCCCGCATTCCTGGTACGCGTGTCCCCACTACCAGTGTGCAAGTGTCCCCAGTACCGTGTCCCGATGCCCATGTCCTCAGCACCAGTGTCCCAGTGCCCAGTACCACTACTCAGTATCAGTGTCCCCAGTGCCGATGTCCCCAATACCCACGGTCACCAGCACTGGTGGCCCTGCCTGCCATGGCAGCAGTGCAGAGCTGCAGTGATCCCGACACCCATCACCACCACAGCCATGTCCCCACTGTCCCCAGGTCGCTGTGACCCCACTGCCCGCCTTCCCTACCACAACCGAGGAGGACGATGGCGCCGATGCTGAGCTGGACACTCAGGCCATGGTGCGGGCCCAGAATCAGAAGAAGAAGAAATCTGGAGGATTCCAGTCCATGGGTGCGTGTGAGGCAGGGGACGACTGTCCCTGGGACAGGGACTGTCCCCTCCTGCCCATGCCCCCTCACTTGTCCCTGTTTCCCTAGGCCTCAGCTACCCTGTCTTCAAGGGCATCATGAAGAAGGGCTACAAGGTGCCCACACCCATCCAGAGGAAGGTGAGCATGGCGAGCGGTGGGTCCCTGCCCCCAGGGGTGGCAGTGGGACAGTGATGGTGACGGTGACAGTGGTGTCCCACAGACCATCCCTGCCATCCTACGTGGCCGGGACGTGGTGGCGATGGCACGGACGGGCAGTGGGAAGACAGCCTGTTTCCTCATCCCCATGTTTGAGCGGCTGAAGGCGCCCAGCCAGGCCGGGGCCCGCGCCCTCATCCTCTCGCCCACCCGGGAGCTGGCCCTGCAGACCCTCAAGTTCACCAAGGAGGTACAGGGGACACGGGGGCGAGTGGGAACAACGGGGGCAATGGGTTGGTTTTACATCCCACCAATATGTTTCTTCCTCACCCTGCAGCTGGGCAAATTCACGGGCTTGAAGACAGCCCTGATCCTGGGAGGAGACAAGTGAGCTGTCCCCATGTCCCCTCCAATCCCTGCTTCCTGAGCCTCCCCAAAGCCCAGTGAGGGTCTGAGCTGCCTGGTGCCACCCCAGTCTCTCCTCTCTCTCACAGGATGGAGGACCAGTTTGCTGCCCTGCATGAGAACCCCGACATGTGAGTGGGGCAGAGGGAGGGGATCCAGTGGGGAAATGGCCACCAGCCATCCGGGGACGTCACTGGTGTTTAGAGCCAGTGTGCCTGATGGGCATTCCTGGTGTCCCTTGGAGCAACTTCCTGTGGGACAACATGGTCTCTGTTGGGTTGGACTTGAGACCTGCTCCCAGGATGGTGTGGGGACACTGTCTCCTCCTCGGTCTGGTCCTGTCACCACCTCTGTCCCCACAGTATCATAGCCACCCCTGGGCGCCTGGTGCACGTGGCAGTGGAGATGAAGCTGAAGCTGCACACCGTGGAGTACGTGGTGTTCGACGAGGCCGACAGGTCAGTGGGGCTCAGGGGCATCCCCAGGGCTGGCAGTGTCCCCACATGGGTGAGAGGCCCAGGGAGTGGCAGAGAGGGACCTGCCATGTGCCATATTCTCTCCCCTGCAGGCTCTTTGAGATGGGCTTTGCTGAGCAGCTCCAGGAGATCATTGCCCGCCTCCCAGACTGCCACCAGACCGTGCTGTTCTCTGCCACGCTGCCCAAGCTGCTCGTCGAGTTTGCCCGGGCTGGTGAGGAGCTGGGGACAGGGACAAGGCACAGTCCCGCAGCCAGGCTGAGCCCAGTACTGGGAAAACCAAGCTGGATTAATGCTGGGCCAAGTGTGTGTCCCCAGCAGCACATCCCGAGTTGACCCGTGTCCCGTGTGTCACCACAGGCCTCACTGAGCCGATGCTGATCCGCCTGGATGTGGAGTCCAAGCTGAGTGAGCAGCTCAAGGTGAGATGGGCTGGGGGAGTTCAAGACAGGCTTTGTGACCCCTACCCGCTGCAAGCTACCGAGGAGGGGACAAGGGTGGCAGTGGTGGCACAGGGCTGAGCACTGCCCTCATACTGCAGCTGGTGTTCTTCCATGTGCGTGGGGATGACAAACCGGCCGTGCTGCTCCACCTGCTCCGCAGCGTGGTGAAGCCCCAGGACCAGACAGTTGTCTTCGTGGCCACCAAGCACCATACAGAGTATTTGAGGGAGGTAAGTGGTATTTGGGAGTGCCCCTGTGGGGTCTGCAGCTGTGGCTGCAGGAATCTCTCCCTCTGTTTCACTGGGTTGAAGGAGAAATCCCAGAATATGTGGTCATGGAGGTACTGCATCCTCAGAGAGAGGAGGGAGCATAGTGGGATTTGGAGGTCCAAGTGGCCACTCTGGAGTCTCTGTCCCTGTCTCTCTGCTGAGGGCACATCCATCCAATCTCTTTTCCCCTATTCCCAGCTGCTGACGGCGCAGGGCATCCGCTGCACCCACATCTACAGCTCTCTGGACCAGACTGCCCGCAAGATCAACATTGCTAAGTTCTCCCAGGGCAAGTGCCCAGTGCTGCTGGTCACCGACGTGGCTGCCCGGGGGCTGGACATCCCCATGCTGGACAATGTCATCAATTTCAGCTTCCCTGCCAAGGGCAAGCTGTTCCTGCATCGTGTCGGTGGGTGCCAGTGCCCTCACTGTGCTGTGATACTGAGGGAGAGACTGGGAACAAAGCAATGTCAGTGTCCATGATGTCCTAGCTGGACTGTGAGGGCTCTTGGGGGCAGGACTGGTACCTTCCCTGTAGGGCTTCCCCTTGCCCCTTCCCCAGCCATACCCCCTATGGTAAATGCCATGTATAGACTGCCAGGGACACCAGGGGTTCCCTTGCCTGGGTGGGGCCAGGCTGAGCTGGCTGTGTGTGGTTTCCCATTCTCCTCTTGCCTTGCCAGGCCGTGTGGCCCGAGCTGGCCGGAGTGGCACTGCCTACTCGCTGGTGGCTCCTGATGAGATGCCCTACGTGTTCGACCTCCATCTCTTCCTGGGGCGCCCACTCATCCTCGCTGGAGCCCAGGAGATGCCTACTGGTGAGAGGTGGCTGTGTGGCCACTGGGGTGTTATCCTTGGCCAGTGCTGGAGTTTGTGTTCTTGTGGTGGGCCCTCACACAGAGGGGTGATGGGGAGAATGGAGTGCTGGGGGCTGTGATACACCCTGTATGTAGGGGATGCTGACTGTACAGAGCCGAGCTCCCTGGAGCTGGCACCTCTGCTCTAATAAATCCAGGGTGGGTGCTGGGCTGCTGACACAGCGTCCCCTGGGCTGCAGATGCTGGCGGGGTCCTGGGCCGTGTCCCCCAGAGCCTGGTGGATGACGAGGAATGCCTGCTGCTGACGGACCACGAGGGCTCTCTGGAGCTGCGCAGCCTCCGCCGCGTCGCAGACAACGCCCACAAGCAGTACCTGCGCTCCCGGCCCGGGCCCTCGCCAGAGTCCATCAAGAGGGCCAAGGACCTGGATGTGTCCCAGCTGGGCATGCACCCCCTCTTCCGTGAGTGCTGAGGAGGTGCTGAGGGAGGGGACCCCATTGCCCTCCCCAGGAAACTGATCTGTGCCCCCCTCCCTGCCTGCCTTCCCCAGGAGCTCGCTTCGAAGACACCGAGCTGCAGAGGCTGAAATTGGTGGATAGCATTAAAACCTACAAGTCCAAGGCGGTGAGTTGAGACTTCTGGGATGGGATGGGGATGGGATGCCCACATGGCTCACTGGGAATCATGCTCCTGCCCTGGGCACAGACCATCTTTGAGATCAACGCCACATCCCGCACACCGGCCAGCACCGTGATGCGATCCAAGCGGCGCCACGACCATGCCCTGATTGAGAAGTTCCAGCGTGGGCAGCAGGAGAAGCAGGCAGCAGCACTTAAAGGGCAGGGGCTGTGCCCGCCTGCTCCTGAGCCCCAGGATGGGGAAGGAGAGCAGGAAGACCTCCAGGTAATGGGGACATGGATGCAGGAACTGCTGCAGAGCTGCCTTGTCCCGGTGCTGGCAGCACCACGCCCCAGATTGTGCTGGGGCTTGGGGGTTGGTGCAGAGACTTGCAGGGACGTTGGCTCCCACACCCCTCCACTGTTCCCATCCAGGACGTGTTCTCCAATGTGAGAGGCCAGAAGCGAAAACGGGGCCGAGGAGGAGAAGATGGTCCCAGGAAAAAGCCGCAGCAGGCGGCACAACAGGACGAGGACTTCTACATCCCATACCGGCCCAAGGACTTTGAGAGTGAGCGGGGGTAAGTCTGGGGGGGCTCCTGCTGCTGTCCCATCCCAGCTGTGTGGGGGCTGCTCTCATCACCCCCCTTTGCAGGCTGAGTGTGGGAGGCGAGGGCAGCGCCTTCGAGCAGCAGGCAGCTGGAGCCGTGCTGGATCTCATGGGCGATGAGAACCACAACCTCAACAAGAGCAAGCAGCTGCTCAAGTGGTGAGTGGGGTTTGCCCATGGGCTGGAGGGAGAATCAGGGCTGGGAGTGGCACTGCTCGGTCCCACCACGCTTCTGTCTCTTGCAGGGACCGCAAAAAGAAGCGGTTTGTGGGGCAGACAGGCCAAGAGGACAAGAAGAAGGTGCGGACGGAGAGCGGGCACTACATCAGCAGCTCCTACAAGAACAACCTGTATCCTGCCATGGGCACTGCTGCCTGCCTGGGCTGGGCACTGGGCACTGCGGGGACAGGGCTGGACCCACATGTCAGGGCTCCATCCCTGCCAGGGCAGCAGCCAGGGGAGGGAGCACAGTCAGACGGCCACAGCACAGGCTCAAGCGAGGAGTCACCACCTGTTCCCTTAACCCACCCGTCCCAGCTATGAGAAGTGGAAGCAGAAGTACAAAGTTGACGAGCGGGATGAGGATGAGGAAGGGCCACGCAGCAGGGAGCAGTTCAGAGGGAAGCACAGGCGTGGGCACGGTGAGTACCTGAAGCAAACAACAGCCCTGCATTGTTCCCCTCAGCCTGGCTCTGTCCCTGCCCTGAGCACAGCCGTGTCCCCTGCAGGGCCCACGCAGCCGCCGGCGCAGGGCAGGGTGCGCTCGGAGCTGAAAACCAAGCAGCAGATCCTGAAGCAGCGCAAGAGGGCGGCCAAGCAGCGCTTCCTGCAGAGCGGGGGCTTGAAGCGCCTCAAGGCCCGGAACCGGCAGCGGGTGCAGGAGCTGCGGCAAATGGCCTTCGGGCGCCGGGCAGGCACTGCCAGGAAGGGCAAGCTGAGGAAGAGGATGTAGAGGACACGTCCCCTATGCCTGGGCTGGGAGTTGGGGAAGGGGACAGTAAATATTGGCTGGTTTTGTATCCCAGCTCCTCTCTGTGCCTGAGGTAATTCTTTCCCCAGAGATACAAGAACAAGCAAGTGTTGTGGCTGCACAGCTGGATGTATTTTGATGTGAAACACCTTCAGAGATGCCAGCAGCAGCTCCCTCCTCCTCCCCTTGCCTGGGGTGCTCTGTGCAGGAGGGAAGCTCGGGAGTGCCCCTGGCCCTGCCTGGGTGTAGCACACCCCAGTGTGCCTGTGCCACTGCCATCCATGCTGTCTCTTGGCATGGGGTTTCCAGACTTGCAGGGGATTACCTCCATCTCCAGGGCTCCTGTGGCTCCATGCTGGCCTTGGCAGCCTCGCCCCAGCCCCAGAAGCAGCAGGTGTCCCCAGGGGCTATTCCTGGCCCTGAAGCAGCCTGGTAGTCCGGTGGTTCTGTGGGTGCGTGCCTGTGGCACAGATATCCGCCAGGCCCTGCATGCAGAGCAGCACCTGTGGAGAGGGGAGCCTGATGCCACAGCCATCATCATCATCACAGCCATTTACAGGGATGTAAATGCCCCTGTGTGTCCCCAGCCCCACTGCCCCAGGGGTAGGGTTGTGCTGACCATGTCCAGCTGGGCCTTTGTGTCCTCCTGGGCTCTGTCCGTGGGGATCCTGAGCTGTGCAGTGGTTTGCTGGAAGAGGTTCAGCACAGCCAGCTTGATCTGCCCCAGCAGCAGATCCTTCTGCATTGCTGTGCTCTGGATGTGGGTCCAGCAGGACTCCTGAGGACAGAGCGAGACCCTGGCCACTGCCCTCTGTCCTTCTGCACCACCAGGCCAGGTCAGGGGGACCCAGGAGTCCTGGCTGTGTATCCTCCCCATGCAGAGCTGTTGTTTTTTGGGCACGTGGAGATCCTTAGCTCAGCCCAGAGGGTGCAACCCAACTTGGCACCTCCACCACATCGGGCATCTCCCTTGAGCAGCAAGTCTAGGGGTCCTTGGGCATCCCCCATCCCCCTTACCCACTGCAGCACATCTTGGCGGGCAGCCTCCAGGCGTGTGTGGAGCTGGGCCAGCTCATCCCTGGTGCCCAGGAGCTGGGTGCTGGACTCCTGCCGGTACTGCTCGAGCTGTGCCTTGCCCTGGGCCAGCATCTCCTGCCCGGCTTCTGCCTCCCGTGCCAGGGCTGCCCNCCAGCATCTCCTGCCCGGCTTCTGCCTCCCGTGCCAGGGCTGCCCGCACCCCCACCAGCACCTCCAAATACTCCAGCATGGCCGGCACGTCCTGGAACTGGGCAGAGGGAGGAGGCTGAGAGGACAAGGGCTGGAGGGGACAGGGCTGGGTGGCACCGCGGGACCCCACGCTCACCTGCCCCGTGCTGGCCAGCACGTCCCGCAGGTAATCCCCGAAGGGCCGGAGGCTCCTCAGGCGCCGGGCCAGGCGCTCCCTGCGCTGGAGCAGCTGCTCCAGCTCCCGCTGCAGCCGGGCAGCCCCAGCCCGCTCCGCCGCCCGCTGCTCGTCCGCCCGGCGCAGAGCCCGCTCCCGCCTGGCCTCCGCCGCCTGCACCACGGGCACGGGGTCAGCGGCCACCGGCCACCGCCCCCCGGCCAGCCTGGCCACCTCCGGCCAGCCCGGCCCCGAGCCCCAGCCCCGCACCTTGAGGAAGGACTCGAATCTGAGCACGGCGTCGCGGTGCTGCTCTTGCCTCCGGGCCAGCTGCTGCCGGCGCTGCGCCAGGCGCTGCATCTGCTGCTGAAACTCCTGTGGGATTGAAGTGTTCCGAGAGCATCGGCCCGCGCTTGTGCAGCCCGTGGGTAGCCGGGGACGTGCTGCCAGCCGCCGTGTCCCCGTGGCACACCTGGGGCCGCCTCACCTGCCGCTGGTTCTGCAGCTCCCGCTCCACCTCCGCCACCTCCCGTCTCTTCAGCAGCACACGAGTGGATGATGGCAGCAGCGTGGCGGGGTCCTGCGCTGCCACCGGCCTGCCACGGGCTGCGTGCAGCTCGGCTGGGCTGCGGAGGGACAGCCTGGGCAGGGCATCTGCCACCGTGGCACGGACAGGGCTCCCTCGGGCCACCTCGGACCACCTTGCCCCCGGGCTCAGCGCGGGGAGCCTGGCCCACTGCCCCGGGCGTGCAGGGATTGGCAGGAGCCACGCAGCGTTAGCCCTGCCTGTGTTCGTGTTCTTGCCCACCCCTCCCACTTCAGACTCCCCCCCGGAGATCCCAGCACCAGTGCTGTTCCCAGGGAAGGACAAGTCACACCACAACCTCAGCTTTCTTGTTAGAACCCGGAGAATCCCTCGCCTTCCCCCAGCCCATGGCTGCAGCGTCCTCTCCTCCCTGGGAGCCTCAGTTGGGGACACTGCGCCCACCTAGTGACACCCATCCTGGCAGTGGCACCCGGAGATGGGAACACAAACCGAGCTCACAGGGCACACAGGATGTGCTGGGCTGCTTGCCAACCCTTTTGGGTTGCTCACTTGCCAGGGGGAGGGCAGAGGGGTGTCACTCACAGCAGCCGCAGCTTGTCCCGGAAAGCCGCTCGCAACCGCTTCTCCAGCTCCGAGTCCATCTCGGCCGGTGCCTCCTCCTCGCCCAGGGACCGGGACAGCCGAGGTGGTGGCAGCACAACAGAGTTGCCAGGGGCAGCCAGAGGCTCCCGCAGCTCCCTGGGATTTTCCTGGCTTGGCTCCGAGCGCAGCTGGGAGGGCGCGGTGCTGGGCACAGGGAACGCACCAGGGCTGCTTGCAGGGAGGCTCCTGCTCTCAGCCCTCCCACCCACACTCCATTCCCTCCAGCCCTCAGAACCCTCTGTTCAGGCTCCATGGCCTTTCAGAGACCACTGTCCCCACTCCTCCCTGTCCCCCTTGGCCTGCTCCAGCTCACACTGTCCTGACACCCCAGGGATGGCTCAGACCCCCTGACTTCACACACAGTGCAGACCCTGCCTCTCTCTGCGTGTCCCAGGAGTGCTTCCCTAGCCCATCAGATCCCCTGTGTTCTGTCAGGTCCCCTTTGTCCTCCCATATGTGTGCTAATGTCCCCATTACCCTACACCCACACTTGACAAGGAACAGATTAACGCCTCACTTGGACACAGAGCAACACTGCAGAAGGAATAGGGGAAAAATATTTATAATACAAACAATTCAGCCTCCCCAGAGTCAGCGTCACCCATGTCCTGCCACACACCCCTTGTTTCTTCCCTTGGCCCAGGACCACTCTGGCCCCCTAGTGACTTTCTCCATCCCAGAGCCAGAATCCCACACAGGAATTCGAGACCATCACAGGCATCCAAGTGAGGGGATGTTCCCATGTTCTGCCTGTGCTGAGTGTCAGCCTTGTTTTAGGGACATCCAAGACATAAGAAGGAAAATGGAACAGGAGAGAAGAAATGGAGGAACATGGCTGGGGAAGAACGGAGTGAAATTGTGGAAGGGGCAGGTGGAGAGAGGTGGGAAGGCTCTGCCTGAAGTGTCCTGGGACAGGACACTGACAGCCTGTGCTCGGCCACACCCAGTGAGGGCCTGCTTGATGCTGGATTCCAGCTGGAGCTCCATATGCTTCCTCAAGGAGGGATAGAAGCTATGAGCCTCGAGTCTCTTCTCTCACTTCCTGTGGAGACACCCTGCCATGGGGCTCATCATCTTCACCTACACAGGGCACAGAGCAGCAGCATCTCAGCTACAACAGCCATCACAAACTCCTCCCTCCCTGGAAGCTGCTCTGGGAAGGCCCACAGCTCAGCAGGGGCAGGTGGCTGCTCACCTTCCATGAGGTGGTTCAGGTGAGCAGCCTGGGCCCTGCTCCCACGGACCAGCGCCATGGCCTCGTGCTCGGTGCAGCTGCTCAGGGCCTCCTCAGACCCCTTCCCCTCCTCGTCATCTTCAGAGTCCACCAGCACTAAGACATCCCCTGAGTCTGCATTCCTGGGAACAGCAGAGCAAGCTGGATAAAAGGCTGAGGAGAGCCTGTTCCCTGCCCTACAGGAAGGCTGAGGAGTGATGCCATGAGGGACTGGGCTGAAGAATGTCAACTCACCTGAACGCAGCACCTGAACGGGAGAGAAAAGAGAGACAGCATTAGAAACTGCCCCTCTGGGAGTGCCACTGGTTTTACTGGACTGGACAACCACTGCCAATCCTGCCTCCACGTCTGTGCCTCCCCCAGATTGTCACTGGCAGCCCCATGCAGAGGCACAGATGTGGAGGTGACCTGCCCAGACACAGCACAGGCAACCCTGACTGACTCCAGCACCCGGGGAGGGACAAGTGGGTCAGGGAGGAACCAGTCCCTACCTCTGAGGCACAGGAGGGGATTGTAGTACAACACAACCCCGGTGACAGTGAGGACAGTCAGGAGGGACAGGACCACCACAGCTCCCACAACCCCAACGACGTTCACTGGCTCTGCAGAGAGGGGACACAGATGGGTGAGGAATTCTCAGTGCAAGCCAAAGAGCAGGTGTGCTGTGTCCCCAGGCCCTCCTGCCACAGCCCCACTCACCTTTCACGGTGAGGCACACAAAGAGCTCCCTGAGCCCCACGGGGTTCTGTGCCTTGCAGACGTAGCAGCCACCGTCAGTGCCCTGGGAGCAGTTCTGGATGGTGAGCCGGGACACGTTGCCCTCCTGGGTGATGAGGAACCTCCCCCCGGGCTGGATCTCCACCTCGGGCTGGGTGATGTCCCTGAGCCAGCTGAGCCGAGCTGCCGGTGTGCTCTCGGTCACCCGGCAGGTCAGGGTCACATTGTCACCCACAAAGCAGGTCTGTGGGGGATCAGATTCCAGGGAAGGGAGTTCTGAACAGCCCCGGGGGAAAAGAAAACAAAAACAGGCGTCAAGGAGGGAATGGAGGCAATTAACTTAACGAGCAATCAAGCTTCTGGCTGATTAATAATCATTAACAGAAGGGAGGCAGGCAAGAGTCTGGAAGTTGAGTGCTATGGGTTTGGCATCTGTCTCACTCAGGAGCCTCCCAAGGAGTGACCTGAGCAGCTTTCCTGGTGCTCAGTCCCTTCTGACACCTGTCTCTATATCTGCAGGGAAAAATGGTCAGAGGGAAGCCAGCAGTAGATAGCAGGTAGTGAGGAGAAGAGTAGCCCAGGCGTTATTTTCCTTGGGATCAGCAGAGCTCTTGTGAAGCCTTGATAACCCTTGGAGGATAAACACAGCCCAGATTCTCATCAGCCACTCAGATCCCTGAGATGCCTGAAGGGCACACACAATCCTTAAACCCAACCCTAGCAATCCTCATCTCAGGCTGCCCACAGCCCCCAAACCATCTCTCACTTTCACACAGGTGTGTGAAGCTTTCCACAGGTGAAAACACCGCTGGGGTGAAATTTGTTGGCCCCTGAAGATGGGCCCAAAACACAGCTCACCTACAACTCTGCCATGATGGATCTCAGCTGCAGGACATTTGTGCCTCCTGCTGCACAGGTGCCCTGCCGTGCCACCTCCTGGCTTTTCTGCCCTCCTCAGTGCTCTGGAGAGCAGGGAGTGACCAGGGTACCCACCTGCCCCACAGTCACAGCTTCATTACCAGCTAATGAGGCCGAAAATCCACTCACTTATCTCCACAGTGCAGGCAGGCTCCTCCTGCTTCGCCACGTGGCTGCCCACACACTTGAAGACTTTTCGGTGGGAGAGGTGGGAGCTGTTCAGTGTCTCCACGTGGGTGTCCGAGGAGCTGGTGGAGCTGATGACCCAGCTGGAGTTCTCCAAATCCTGCCCCTCCTCTCTCCAGTGCAGGGTGGGGTGTGGGTACCCCCCAGGCCAGCTGCAGAACAGCTGCAGCATCTGCCCTGACGAGGAGGTCTCAGCCCAGCACTTTGGGGTTGCCTGTGGTGGATCTATCAGCAAGGACAGCACATGGTCAGAAACACTTGCAGGGCTGGAATTCATTTTCCATTCCCCTTGAAAAATCTTTCCTGTTTCCCTACAAGTCTTGCTCCCTGACCTGGAGGGACAGCCCCAGGCATGCACAGCTGTAAGTGACAGCCAGCAGGGACCAAGGGGGGCTGTCAGAGTCCCCACAGCCAAGTCTTGAGGGAGGGAAAAAATTATTGCCACAGCTTCATCCAATGGAAATGAGATAAACACAGCTGGAGAATGAAATCCCACTGCCCTGGTTCTCATGGCACAGCTACCAGGGAGGAGCACTGAGTCATCACTTGAGAACAAGGCACAGTTCTGGCTCTCTCCCAGCTGCTCCTGCCACACACAGATCCACACACGTGCTGATTTAACAGCCAGAGGGATTCTGGACTCTGATCCAGGCAGAATTAACAGGCCATGCCCCTGAGTGTGCCTAATGCAGTGCTGAACGAGACCCCACCAAGAGATCAAACCAAAGCAAGCTGCACACCAGAGGTGTCAGAGGGGTATCTGAGACTTATTTTAGGGAACATTTATTCAGGAGACTTTGAAATTGCTTCAATTAATAAAACATACATCATGGCAAACCCTCGTGGGAGCTGCAAGGACACCTTCCTGGGGCTTGGCTCTCCAGGAACTGTACACACACCTCGGGTGATCTTTGAAACCACCCAACTCTGGCAAGAAAATTCTCTGCAACACTCCCTGTGTCCCACCTCACAGGATCAAACTGCTCCCAAACCCTGGCTGTGGTGAATAGGGCATCCTGTCAGCCTGAACCAGCAGAAAGTGCCCTACATCAATGGGGCACAGCCCCTCCAGGATGTCCAGCCAGAGCTGTGCTTTCTGTGCTGACTCAGGAGCAGTTTCCTGAAGCCATCAGCTTTACATCCTGAACTCCCAGGCTCTCCCAGCACAACTCTGTCTAAAGAAATCTGCTCTCACAAAGTTAACAAACCAAAAGCCTAAAAATCTCCACCCTCCAAACCTCACAAAACACCAGCAAAAAGGACCTGTTGTGGTTTGACCCACAGAAGTGCTTGCACCAACCCACACACAGATGTGCCAAGGAATCCCTGGAGGTGTGGGACTGCATGTTTCCTTTACAGGTGCTTTTCATCCAAAATAAACACAGAATCACAGCTCAAGGCAGGGCTGCACCCTTGTCCTGTCACTAGAACGTTTACTATACTGCTTGTGGGGTTTTCAAAGTGCAGTTTTAAACAAAAAGAGAACTCTTGGGACAGGTTGAAGACTGTCAGCTGGTTATTCCCACACAAAACCTCTACATATCCTGGGAGGCTCTTCCACAGCATTGCCAAGTCCAAAATTTGCTATAGCCCAGGATAAGATGTTCCACCAACAGGAATTGTGAAAAAACAGGGCCCCGCTACAGGCCAGAGGTTAAACTTCTAACTTGCTCCTCCTGCTGACCTAAAGCATCTCCAGAAATTTCTTTCTCACTTATCAAAGGGTATGCCCACATCACCTTTGTTGTACTTGGAAATTAGTTGACACAATTAATTCCAGACTAATAAATGAAGTTCAGATTGCAGCACCGACACTTGGCACCCCATAAATATGTTTTGTTCCCAAGTGTTCTGCCCCAGTGCTCCAGATTTGGGGGTCCTCACTCCTAAGCCCACTGCCTAAATATCCATTCCCTGAAGCAGCCTGGGGTTCAATCCTTCCACACCCCATCTTCACGTTCCTTGCTGCAGGAAGAGAATTTTTATTTCTGTAAACTTTCAAGAGGTTAATCTGTACAAAACAGGCGCAGTGTTTACACTCAGGCAGAACGAAGGAACACCCTGAAGGCAAACAGGTCTCATACATGGGAACAGCAGCAAGAAAGGAAGGGGCCAAGGGAATACAGACGGTCAAAATGGGAAAAGCACCAGATTTTCCCTCTTCTCAATGCTGAAGGGACCAAGAGTGGCACAAGACCTGTGCTCTCTGCTAATCTGGAAGGGGCTGTTCCCATGGAATACATGAGACATCAGGGCAAAACAATGGTTTCCTGGTAGAAGCAGAAAGGACTAAGTGGCTTGAGCGCTTTCCAGCACGAACTTCCACCTGTGCTCTGAACTTTTCTGAGGGAATGAATGGATGAAATAGAGATGGAAAAGGGAGAGAGCACCAGAAGACACAGAAGGGCTGAAAGAACTGGCCTGTGCTGATAACAGGTAGCTCTCGGGACACTGCTCCCACATAAACCTGAGGAATTTCCTGCTTCCATCAATGTAAGACTCCTCAGCTGGGAAGAGCTCTCCCACTAAGAGGATGGCACAGCACATCTATCTCAAACAAGGGACAGCAGACAGCGAGCAGCAGCCCTTTTCTGCAAGGTTTATGGACACTCAAGTCAGCCAGATTCTGAGGCAGAAAGTCCTCCTGGAATAGCTACAGGGAATGGACGATGTGCCCAAAAACTCGTTTATCACCAACAACGAAGAAGAGACACAGCAAGGACTTGAGAGCTGGCATTTCCCCTGCATATGCTAGATCTGTGACACACATTTTGGTGCTTGTGAGAGAAATTCTGCACAATAAAGCCGTCTGCACTTTCTAAATATTATTCTTCCACCAGCGCCAGAGGAATTTGGGGATGTGGAAGGCGGAGGGGAGGAAGCCCAGCTGCGGGGATGACTTACTGGCCACCAGGAGCTGCACCCTGTGCTCATGGTCCGTCTTGTTCAGCACTTCCCTGCAGGTGTAGTTGCCCTCGTCCTGCACACGCAGCTCGGTGATGCTCAGGGAGCTGTTGTCCACCAGGGAAAAGCGAATGTCCGGGGGAAAGGAGACCCTCGAGGAGAAGAGAGGTGGGAAGGCGTGCGGGTCCCCTTGGAACCAGACCACCTCGGTGGCTTCCTTGGACACGTTGCGGCACAAAAGGAGGATGCTTCCTCCCACCTGCCCAAAGACCACTTCATCTGTTCCTGCAAGAGAGAAGGGCCAGCGTTAGGGATGGAGGGAACGGGCAAAGCCACGTTCCTCCAGCAAAGACCTGGATATCGGGTCAGTGTCAGCCCTCTGAGGTGCGTGTTAGGGGGCTGCTGAGGGACCTCTGAGGTGACCACACACATCCAAGGCAGAGCAGGGTCAGGAAAAGGGACACAGCTCCCTGCTCCCCCCTCAGCCCGCGCTACCTGCGGCCTCCCGGCGCGGCACCAGCCCCCAGACGCACAGGGCGAGCAGCAGCCGCGCCGGCGGCATCGCGCCCAGCAGCTGCATGGCCGAGTGCCGCTGCCACAGCCCCGCGGAGGCGGTGCCGCCCTGCCACCGCCCCGCTGACAGGCCTGGGGAGGGCAGGCGTGCCCGGCCGGGGGGACCCGCCCGCCAGGGCCGTGAGGGGCCCGTGCTGGGGTCGTCCATGAGTCTCAGAGCCGCCGGTTTGGGCGGCCGCCATCTTGGCCTCCCCCCTCCCTCCCACCAGGGGCCGCCCGCCATGTTGGGGTCACCTCACTCCCCCCTCGGCCACTGGGGCGGCCCCAGCAGAGCGGGGCTGGCGCTGCCGCCCGGTGCCGCCCATGGGCCGGCAGGGTTTGAACCGCACGGAGTGGAGTTCGCAGAGTAGTGTTCGCTGAGTGGTAAGCGACCCTCGCGTCCCGAGAGCTGCTCTAATCCACCCGCTTAGAGACATCCCACAGGCAGCGTAGTGGGAAGAGCAGAAATAAATGGTTATTCCTCTGTGTAACCCCGCAGCAAGGGCCGTAACTACGCAACTATCTTCGGGTTTCTCCTGCACACCTTACACGTGGCAGCTTGGAAGCACAAGGCGTGCGTGAAGCAGAGCGCTGAGACCCACAGGGCTGCCCCACTGGGCCCTGGCACATTAATTATTAATTAGCCTAATTAGCGGTAGGGGTAACAGTGCTGGCTCAGGTAACCGGAGCTCGGCCGGCCCCCCTCGGCTCCGCCTGGGGGCGCCATAGAGCTGGCGCAGGTGTGTCTCCACCAATGGGAGGGGCGCATAGCAGCGTCTCCACCAATGGGAGAAGAGCATAGCGGCGTCTCCACCAATGGGAGCGGAGAGGGGCGGTGCCTCCGCCAAGGGGCACGGGGTTCGGGGAGCCCGGAGCCGCCGCAGCCGCAAACGTCGCCATGCCCGTGGATCTGGCGAAGTGGGACGGGCCCCTGAGCCTCGCCGAGGTGGAGCAGAAGCCGGCGCACCCGCTGAGGGTCAAGTATGGCTCCGTGGAGATCGACGAGCTGGGCAAGGTGCTCACGCCCACTCAGGTGAGCAGCATCCGGCCCTGCGCGGGGGAGTCGGCGCGGCAAAATGGCGGGATGCGGTCGGGCCTCTGGCGCTGTCGCTCCGGCAGAGCTGAGCTTTGGGGGCGGCCTTGCTACGGGGGTGGCCGTGCCTCAGGAGAGAAGGCCCAGGGCCAGCTGGCACGAATATCCTTGAGCCCCTCGGGTGTCGCTGCCCGCGCAGGTCATGCTGGCCCTCGGCAGGGCAGGCGGCCGGCGCTGACAGCGGGGATGGTGTTAACGCTGCTGGGCATCCCTGCAGGTCCAGCATCGCCCCACCAGCATCGAGTGGGACGGCTGCGATCCCCAGAAACTTTACACCCTGGTTCTCACAGACCCTGACGCACCCAGTCGGAAGGACCCAAAGTTCAGGTAACGGAGATTGGACAGCTCCGTGTCTTGCGCGGGAAAAAAGGAACTTCTCTCTTGGGCTGAGCAGAGGTTTGAGGAGGAGGTGGGACTGTGCTCCGCCTGAGATGAAGCTGTGGGGCTGTGGCTTGACATTGAAATCGTGTCCTTGCATCTCTCCTGTAGCCAAGGACAGCATGGTAGCCAGGTAAGCATAGGAGAAGCTGCTCTTATCAGGAGTGTTCAAAGGTGTGTTGTAGCTGGAACAGCACAGCATTAATTGCTTGCTCTAATTTAGCACACATGTGAGTTGGAATTAGGTCTTTGCTGGCGGCAGAATCTTAAATCTGGGACCAGCTCACCTTTCTCAAGTCAATCTCAGCAGTGTGTGGAATTTGCACTCTCAGAGATCAGGCTGTGGGTTTCCTGCATCTACGAGGAGCTGCTTTTGGCAGGCTGTGCATCCCAATGAAGCACTTCCTGCTCTGGGACTGATGCTCTTCGGGTTTGGCAAGGCAGGAGTGGCTGCTGTTTGTTTACCCCGTGCTGACAGCATCATGGAGAAGCAGCAGCTTGGAGTGACAAAGGGTCTTCTTATCTGCAGCTCTGCCAGTCTGATTGCTCTTTGCCTTCTCCTTTCAGGGAATGGCATCACTTCCTGGTGACCAACATGAAAGGCAACGATGTGGGCAGCGGGACCGTGATGTCGGATTACGTTGGCTCCGGGCCTCCCAAGGGAACAGGTTGGTACCTGGAGCAGGTACAGCTCCCACACGGTGCTACATGGATCACACCCAGTGCAGAAGGGTGAGGGGGAAACCTGCAGGGAACTGCCTGAGGAAACGATCCTTGTGGGATTGCTGGGGGCTATCCAGTGCATCTTCCCTGAGCTCCATCATCCTCTGGGGGTCACCTGGCAGCACAGGTGGTGACGCTGTCCCTCCCCGCAGGGCTGCACCGCTACGTGTGGCTGGTGTACGAGCAGCCCCAGCGGCTGGCCTGCAGCGAGCCCGTCCTGTCCAACCGCTCCGGGGACAAGAGGGGCAAGTTCAAGGTGGCCGCTTTCCGCAGCAAGTACGGGCTGGGGGCGCCCGTGGCGGGCACCTGCTACCAGGCCGAGTGGGATGACTACGTGCCCAAGCTCTACGAGCAGCTCTCGGGGAAGTAGGGCCTGGGCCCCTGGGGCACTGCAGCACCCGTGGGTGAGGCCGGGCACGGGGCTGTAGTTCCGTTTTGTTAATGAGTTGAACCTAATTGTCCTGCTCTGACCGCTGGAAATGTCGCTGTCCCTGCTCCATGTCCCTGTCTCCAGGCCTGTGCTGATGCTCGTGGTATCCTAGCTAGAGAGCTGCTGATGGGTGTCCCTGGAAGGGCCACTCCCTCCAAACTGACCTGCTTAAGGGAATCAAAAGCCTTTGTGAATTAGTGTAAATTCAGGGGGTCTCTGCTGTCTTGGGGTGGTTTGAGGTGGCAGGGGTGTGGGTACACAACCACTTTGGAGTGGTGCTGGCTGTGGAGACTCTCTTTTCCAAGAGAGAAGAGGGCAGTCGAAGGGAAACTTCCTCCCTTTTTTTTTTTTTCTTTCCTCCTCCTACATTTAGCCAGTGCCTCAACATCACCACTACAGTAGTGAAGGTGCAGCTCAAGGGGGAGGCAGGAGCTGGCCTAGAGCACTTCCTTCTGTTCTCTGCTGCCACTCAAAGCTGAGACCACTTTTTGTTCAGTCCTGTGGTGACCTGCCCTGTGTGCACAGTGCAATTAAAAACTTCCCAAGGCCCTTAGTGTGCTTGGTTGTCTTCTTGGGGGATAAGGGCAGTGCTCAGGGAGTAGGGGGGTGGTGTTCCTGGGGTGAGGTTGAATCCATTCCTGCTGCTGGAGGGACACAGCTCAAAGCCATCATGTCTTTCTATCTTAAAAACATTCCCAGCCTTCAGTTCCTTCCCAAGGGATCTCCTCACACTCCCAAACCATGGAGGCTCCTTCCCTCTACAGCAGATCTGACAGTCAGTCTGGGCACCACCAGCTTTACTGACCTGAAGCCACTTCCCAGCCCAGCTGCTCCTCCAGCAGCTTTGCAGAGAGGCCTGGGGGGGTCTCTCCTAAGTGCCTGGAGCAGAAATGAGCCTCTGGTAGAGCCTGATGGCCTCAAAAAGGTAAAAAAGGTGAAGCCAATGCAATTCAACTCCATTGAAGCAGGAGCCTTCCCCCTTTTTTTCAAGCTGCTGTATCAAAGCTCTACAGTGACATGGTCTGACAAACAGGAATCAGGAATCAGCAGCATTCCTGTGAAAATTGGGGATTCCAGAACTCAAGTGGATGGTGCTGCCCCAGGTCAGTTTTATCAGCCCAGCAATGAAAACATTTCAACAGGATCGATGGATTTCCAGGACAACAGCCCCAGCTACTCCAAGGCCCACCAGAGTTAAGGTTGGAGCAGTGCTCACAAGACTGATCCATCCTGGGACTGCTCAGAGGGCATAAAAAAAAATAAAAAACCCATTACCTAAAAGTCTCCCCTGTCAGGAAACCAAGCCCCGAGGTTCCTGCAGCCCCAGGCTGAGGGACACCTCTGGAATGTGACACCTGTGGAATGTGTCCCCTCCCCATCCCCACCTTGCACCTGTGCTGGGCCACGAGCCACCCCTCCCACAATGACACAGCCAGGCATTGTGATGAACACTTTTATTTACAAATATAATTAAAAGCTCTGACAGTTATTCATGCTCTTCCCTGGAACCTGAAAAATGTTTTTGTTGTTTTGTTGGTTTTTTTGTCCTTTTTTTTTTGTTGGTTTTTTTTTTTAAAGTGCATGCAAAAGAAGTAAAGCCTTTTTTTTTTCTCTTTTTATTGTAAGAAAATACACAGTTTGAAAGTGTGAATAATGCAATATTTATGACCAAGATCATGGGGTTGGGGGTGGACTTGGGGGAGGAACAAAAAAAAAAAAAAAAAACCCAAAAAATCAAATAAAACTAAAACTGAAAAGGGCTGGGATGATCTAACAGACAGTGTTGAGCTCCAGAACAGAACTGGAGAGTGGGGGGTGGCTGGAGCAGGAAGGGAGGGAGGGAAAGAAGTAAAAAAATTTTTGATCAGAGAAACAGTTAAAATACAATATGAAAATAAGTAAAAGCTCTCCTTAAATTCCTTCTATACACAAAATACACGATTTGACAAAGCCCAATTTGTGCTACTGGGATCCTGTGGGCTCATTTAAGTGTATTCACATTCTCTGCGACAGCAGAAAATGATTTATGATACAATCAAGAATATGCCCAGGGGCCAGGGCTCGTCCCTGCTGCCCCTGGCATGGTTCTCCTAAAAATCACCACGTCGTCACCCACCCCTCCCCACCCCCAAAAAAGTAATAATATGTCACCACTGATATGTACAGCACGATTAAGTTTTTTTTTTCTGTAAAATGTATCAAATTTTTTTTTCAATCTTTAATAAAATTTTTTTTTATTATTTAATTATTCCTGATGAATAAATACCAAAAAAATAAAAATAAAATAAAATTATGCAGCAGCTAGTTAAGGTAAGGCTGCGGATTCAGTCTCTCTCCCCCTGGGATCGTAGATATCTTTTAATTATTAATATTTTTTTGCTTGTACTTTCATTGATTGGTGGTAAAATGAGTGATTGCTCAGAAGCAACATACATCCACTTGGTGGTTTTTTTATGTTGGTTTTTTTTTTTTTTTTCTCCATTAAAATTGTCTCCAAAGTTTTCACTGAAACATTTTTAATCATTGCACAGAGACATCAATACTGTGACATACTATGGAAAAGACTGCCAGGAGCTGTCCTGCACCGGGACGTGACGGGGGAAAGGGGCCCCTGATGGATAAGAATATACAGGCACTGGTCCGACACGATGTCAGTAAGAGAGACAGAAAGAGAGAGAGCACGCCCGTCAACATGGGGAATGTTGGGTTTGCAAGTTTCATCCTTACTCTGCTTTTTGTGGTTTTTGTTGGTTTGTTTTGTTTTTTGTTTTTTTTTTAAATGGCAAAGAAATTTAACCTCATCTATAGTCCTCCTTGGGATATTCTAACGTGACCAAATTCCCAAAGCCCATCCGCAGGCTCTCCATGTCAAACGTTTCAATCTCTCGCTCCTGCCTTTCCAACAGAAACTTGATCCTCTCGCTGCGTTCCTTCTGGAGGGCGGCGAGCTCCTCTTCGATCTGCAAGGAGCACAGTGAGCAGCCCCCCAGCACAGCCCCGCCCTGCCCCGTGTCCCCACAGCCCCTGTGACACCCACCTTCTGCTCCAGGTGTGCCCTGCGCAGTGACACCCGTTGCTCCAGCTTCTGGAGTTCCCTTTCGTGCTGTGCTTCTGTCTGCATTTTAATTTTGCTCTGGTACGCATTGAGCAGCTCCATCTCCTGCTGGAGTTGCAGTCTCAGGGCTTGGCATTCTGCTTCCTGGGCCTCGTCCAGCCGGAGCTGTGAGAGCATCGGGAGAACAACACTCAAACCCCCGCTGGGAATTCCTCTGCTCCCACACAAATCACACCACTCCTTCTCCCCAAAGCTATTGGTGTTGGTGGCAGAGGGAGAAAGCAGCAAAGGCTTCAGGAGCTGCAGCTTCTCTGCTCACACTGAGGCAGAGCCTCAGGAGATCCAATCCTAAACCCCAGCACACGAGGGGAAGGACGCGTGTTCTGCAGGACACTTACTCCAAGAGGGAAAGTGTCACCTGATGTGTTATTTAAACAGTTTTTATAATTGAGTGGCTGGAGAAGTTCCCCTCAGGGTGCAGCCAGGCCCCAGAGCCCCCCAGCCCCCTGCACGTACTGCCTGCGAGGCCATCATCTCGTTGATGCTCTGCTCGTACTGCTCGGCCAGGATGGCGAGCTTCCGTGTCTGCTCGTCCTTCAGGCTCTTCAGAATTGTCTTGTGCTCACTCTTTGGAGTTACTTCCAGCTGGTGATTCTTCAGTGCTTTGTACTGCTTAGTTTGCACTTTGCATGTGTCCTGGAACTGCTTTTTGATCTGCATTTCCATAGCCTGCCAAGGAAGGAACGACGTGAAGAGCGCGAAGGGCTTTGGGAATGGAGAGGTTGTGGTAGGTCCAACATGGGTGGGGTGGTGCAACCACAGCTCCCCTGTGTGTGCTTCCCACAGGGATTCACCAGCAGCAGCAGCAGCAGCTCAGGCCCTGCTGCAGCCCGGCCAGGAGCAGCACCCACTCAGCCCAGGGCACTTCCATCCTCAGCCCCTGCTTCCTGCAGGTCACCCAGCCCACCACCTGCCTCCCACCTTCACAGCATCATTCCCTTTCCGTGTCCTTCCCACCTCAACCTTGCACTAAGTGAAGGTTGCAGATCTGAGAACTAGCAAGGGTGTGACAGAGTGACAGCAATGTGCCTTCTCTCTGGTGACCAGAGACCCCAGGGAATGGCTGGAGCTGTGTCAATGAGGTTGAGGTTGGGTATCAGGAAAGGTTCTTCCCCCAGAGGGTGCTGGGCACGGCCCCGAGGCTGCCAGAGCTCCAGGAGCGTTTGGACAGCGCTGCCAGGCACAGGGTGGGATTGCTGGGGTGTCTGTGCAGGGCTGGGATTTGGACTGGATGATCCCTGTGGGACCCTTCCAACTCAGGATATTCCATGGTTCTGTGACAATGGGAGGAGGAACAGAGAGCAGCTCAAGAAGTCGGTAACCACACAGGGGTGTGCAGAGACCCCAGAGTGTTCTCTGTGGACTCTGAAAGCACCACCAACCCCTCTCCTCATCACTGAACTGACACCAGTGAGGGCCTGAACAACACACAGCTTGTCAGAAACAACTTCTGTAACACTTTGCTCAGGACTGGACTATTTTACCCAACAGCCTCAATTAGCACAGCACTTTAAAAACCCTCTGTGAGCTCTGGGCTATCCCAGCCCACAACTGCGCTTATGCAGAGCTGCTCTGTGCATAGGGAGGGGATGCAAGGGAGAGCACAGGGCACGGAGAGCAGTGGTGCCACAGCACGGGAGCTGCATAGAGGAGACACAGACAGGAGGACAGAGGCTGGAGGAGGAGGAAGAAAAGCTTGCAGCACCTTCAGGTTCTTTGGTTGCTGCCGGAGCTCCATGAAATGCTTCCTGTGCAGCTCCCGCTCGCGCCGCTTGTTGTACTCCAGCTGGTTCTCGAGCTCAGTCTGGTGCTGCAGGCGGATGAGGTCCATGCGCAGCTTCTGCAGCGTGTGCAGCTGCCGGTACTCCAGCTCCCGCGTGGACTCGTCGTGCCGGATCAGCATCGCGTGCTCCATCTCCTTCTGCGTCCGCTTCTTGTTCAGCTCCTGCACACACACACAGCCCTGAGCGACAGCTCTGCCCGCAGCCTCCACCTCTCCAGCCTCAGGGTCCTGCTCGCTGCTCTGCACAACTGCAGGCACTTCACGTGTCACAGGGAAACACCAACCAGCAGCACCATGGGCATGCTAAGTGACCACCTAGTGACCGACCATCCATCCATCCATCCATCCATCCATCCATCCATCCCTCCATGCCCCGCTCCTCTGGCAGCTCTGGGATGGCCCCAGCAGTCCCCAGCAGGTGGCACCAGGACCCCACACAAGCCCTCTGTGCCTGCAGGAACTCGCAGCAGCTTTCCATGAACACGTCCCAGTGTGCTCAGGTGACAGAATTCCCCTGTGCCCCTGGTGCACACTGGGAATGAGCTCCTCCCCAGCACCTGCACTAGAGTGGCCAAAGCAGAGGTCAGTGGCTCTAACACCACCTCAGGTGAGAAAATGAATTGTCCAGGTGGGATTTGGCCCAAGGTGCAGCATGCTCTTAAAATAAGGCTGGAGCCTAAGGCTCAGAGGGTTTTGCAGGCTCACCAAGAGCTGCTGCACAGGGTGTCCACAGTCTGGATAACCTTCCCCAAGCTACAAGAAAGGGGAAGACACCAGTTCCCTCCCTGATTACTGCAAATATTTGTGTCTCGAGGTGTCAGCCACATGCCGTGCAGCAGAGCTGACTCCAGACAGTGCCTGTGCATCCCTGATCCAGGCTCAGGTTACAGCCTCAGCGCTGTGCTCCAGCCAGGCACAGCAGGGCTGCCCCACCCCACACTGTGCCCAGCCCAGTGCTGCCCCAGCCTAACGAGTTTCTGCAGGAGAAGCAAAAATATGTAATTATTCTGAGCTGCTGCTCACACGTAATCCTGTTGTAACGTTCAACAGGAGTGAACTTCAACCCCTGTGGTTGCTACACGTAGGACAGGTTTGGGCTGAGAGGATGGGGAAGGAAACAGGGCCAGGGTTTCCCTCTGCCCTCTTGGCCCTAAGGGTGCAGCATGTGTTTACATTTAAGCAGAACTCAACCTCTGACAGCCAAGATTAAAAATTACATGTACTGGTGTGCCAAAATGACTTCTCACAGGGACAAAGCAGGTGGGGCACTGAGCAGGCAGGCAGGGAGCTGTGGCACACGTGCCTTCATCCCAGGATAGCTCAGCCAGCCTCTCCCAAGCCCGTTCCACACCTGATTTCAGTTCACACAGCATAAACACACACAGTCATTCCATTTCCCTCAAACACTTTCCAATTTGTACAAAAACAACATCTGTGGTTAGTTAAAATACGGAAAACACATTTTGAAAGTGTTATTTACTTCAGGTGATCCAAGTAGTCAGTACTGGCACATTTGAATTGGTAGAGATGTAATTTTCAGGGAATAAAAACTCAGATCCTTCTGAAAATTAGGTCTCTCATAAGAGCTTAAATGCAGGAGGTCAGAGGTGTGTTCCTGGTTAAATGCCATGCTAGGTAACTGGACTCTGTTCTCATCCCTGCCACAGAGCTGACATGCTGTGGTAGGAGTGCTCAAATCTGAATTTTTGGAGTCAGTGGTTGTCAGGGTGCCTGGGTTGAGATACCTGGATCTCAGCAAAGCAGCTGAGCAGCCCCAGGTACATCTGAACCCAAGGGCAGCAAAGCTCTGAACAAGTAAAAAGTGCACTGGAAAACCTGAGGGTAGCAGGCCAAGCACAATTGGAAATTTTTGACCACTCCTCACTCAGTTTTCACTAAAACATCCTCTCATCTGACAGCCTTTATCCAAAAATAACACCAATGAAGAATTCAGATACTACAGTGATGGCCACAGGAACATCTCCAAGTGGAAACTCTTTCACAGGCAGCCTTGAGGCAAGGGGCAAAAACCAACGAGGGGAAGCAGGCTGTGAGAAGCTGCTCCTTGCCAACCCATATTCTCATCCCACAGCTCTCCCCACAGCCCAGACTGGGGCAGGACCCCCAGACCCAACACTGAGGAGCTGGGATGAGGCATCAGGCCCAGAGGAGGGGCCCACTGGGTGTTTCTGCCTGCAGTCAATGCTGCCATCCCTTAACTGACCAAAGCAGCCACAGCTGCATGGAAAACCATTCCCCAAACCCTTTTTTCTTATATTTTTTCTCAGTTCTATTTAGCAAGTAGAAACGTGAAGACCTAAGTTCAGGCAAGACACGAAGCTAAAGCAGTTAAAGAAAAGCTGGCAGAGAAGTGAGGAGTGCCATACTTCCCGAATGTTCTGCTGCTCCATCTCGTGCCTCTTGATCATCGTTTTTCTCTTGAAGAAACGGCAGTTTTTGTCGTAGTAGAGTCTCTGCTGGCTGAGAAGCTGGGCCTCCTCTTCAGCCTGTGTGTGCTGCAGGTTCTCTTTGTGTTTGGATATCCTTTCTTGCTTCTCTTTCTTGGGTGTGCTGTGGTCCTCATTCATTTCCTGCAGGGTCAAAACAAGGTTTCCCTCAGCACCACAGTGACACAGGACCTGGGGGACCTTCCTGGCTCCTCCTCTGCCATTCAGTTCATGAAAGGACACCAAAATCCCACTACAAAACCAACAGAACCAGACTTGTCACCTGGCCTTGCTCAGCCCTGCTGCCCCTACAGCAAGAACCACACCAAGAGCAGGAGAAAAAGTGGACATTGAGCTCCTTGATATTCATTTTCTCACCTTTACCTTAACAGCAAATTTTTTTTGCCATGTAGTGTAGACACTACTTAAATAATGCATTTTAGCACAGATAAGCTACATATGAAGCTACTTCTCTTCCTAATTTATGCAAGTGATCACAGGGCTTTTAGTCAAGGGACATTGAATGGCTGCTCTGATTACTTGGAAAAAAAAAAACAGATGAGGAGAAAGGGAAAGAAGAACTCTCTGTGAAGTCCCATTTTCCCTCATCACCCTTGGTTTCAAAGATTCTGCTCTACAGCAAATTGTGAAGGCACCTGTAGCCACCCTCACAAATTGTTCTGGAAATGCTGCCAGATGCTCCCAGTTCCTGAAAATTTACTTGCTGAGAATCCAAATTTGCTTCCAAGCCTGACAGTGTCCCTTAAACCCCTGGGCTGGCCCAGGTTTATCAAAATAAAAGACTAGTTCGTGTCCGTTCCACACCCCTTCAGCCCCAAAAATGAGGGTTTCTTGCCTCTTTAATCTTTTCCTTGCAAAGCTTGTATTGTTTCTTCTGACTTTCTAAAAAGGTCGCCAGGTCTTTCTTTTGCTGAGCCAAAATCTGTTGCTGGAATTTCTTTTCATCTGCTGCTGCTGCCTTTGCCTGCAATGTACAGAGAGGGGAAAAAAATAATAATAATAAAAAAAAGTGAGTAAGCAGGTGCAGAATCCAGCACAAATCAGTGCTGTGGTTTTTGGTCAGTCATTCTGGTGACAAAGCCACGAGCACTCAGCCACAAGAAAGCTGCTCACACAGACAATGCTCACCTAAGTCTGAGGGCTTCTTTGTGCTTCTACTCTCCCCACCAAAAGCACCCCAGAGGGCACAAGCACACAGTTTATTATGTGGATTAACGTGCTGGTTTTTAGCCTGAGTGACAGCTTTGTCACCCCCTCAGCTAAGGCAATGCTCCCACCAAGGTCCCCACAGCCCCTTTTCTGCAGCTGTGGCACAGAGTGCCCAGCAGTCAGAAGGTGACTTGAGGCTGCTTCACCAGGGAGCACAAGGTCACACAATCACTGGGCTGGAAGAGACCTTTAAGTTCATTGAGTCCAACCCATGCCCTGACATCTCAACTAAACCACATCCAATCTTTTTATAATCACATCCAGAGATAGTGACTCCACCACCTTCCTGAGCAGACCATTCCAGTGCTTTATCACCCTTTCTGTAAAAAACTTTTTCCCAACATCCAACCTAAATTTCCCTTGGCACAGCTTAAGACTGTGTCCTCTCGTTCTGCACCTCAGACCACGGGTTTGAGCAGCAACTCCCACAGCCCCCCTTGGAGAGACCTCAGATCCCCAGGGACACTGCACTCACCTCCTTCTCCATCACAGCCACTTGCTTCTTGGCCAGCTTCTCCAGCTCAATGGACGAGTTGTTGGCGTGTGTCTCCACCTCCTTCTGCAGCTTGAGGCGGTGCTCGTCCATCTCGGCCTTCAACTTGTTCTCCAGGGCGATCAGCTGCTTCTGGTGCTGGCGCCGCATCCGCTTATATCCTGACATCTGTTCCCGCAGCTCGTTCTCCTGCTCATGCTCATGGATCTGTCTTGTAACCTGGGTCAGGAACAGACCAAGAAGTGCTCCATGGCCTCCTTCCACACCAGCTGTAGCCATGCTGGCTGCTCACTGGAAGGCAGGCCCTGCTCTGCTCTCAGGAATTATTGAGGGTTTTGGAAGTGTTGCTGCTCAATTCCACAAAGCCACGAGGTATCTCTCTCGTAACTTTTAGCCCCATCTTTTTCTGAGACTTTTACGTGTTTTCAGTGACACAGCAGAAAATAAAGGAAGGAACAGGTTACTTATCACTCCAGAACACACTGGAGATCTGAAAACAAAGGTGGCTGATGGACAACGTTCTTCAGATACAGGGGACAACCTTATTCGGACACAGGATTCAGATCCTGAGGGTGGCATGGACTCCCAAGATGCAGTCAGAACCCCCCTCCCCCCAAGCCACCCATTCTTTCCTTCCTCCTCCAGTCACCCCCATGCCAATTCAATCCCTCAACATCTATTTTCTGCTACACGGAGCCTCCTTCAAAATTTCCCCTTAAAATTCAAGATGATGGCAGACTGAGCTCATTCCTTCCCAGAATTGAAAGTTTTCTAACAAGGGAACACTGTTCTGGAACTGTGTGCTCTTAACAAGATTGATCAGATGGTTTAAGCAGATTTTAAACCCTGCTCATCTGAAACAAACTCACAAGTTCCACATTCATTTCCATGCCCAAGTGTATCCATGTGAAAGGAAGAAAAAAAAAAAACCCAACAGGCTGTGCCAAAAATGTTCAGAAGAAAATGCAAATGGTGATGCTTCCATTTCAAAAGAAGAAAAGTGTCCAAGACTGGTTTTTATTTTTTTAAAGACAGTCTCAGGAACTTCGCTTATGAAGATCTGCTGATCATTTATGCAACCTGAGAACAAAAAACTTGGTACATGTAGAATTACAGCCCCTGATTCTGTGCAAGGGAACCTTTGCTTTCACACTTAAGTGTGAAGAGCTCAGTCCTTTGAAGGGGATCACTGAAGATTTATGAACCAAGAGTCCCTCCTGCAGCCTGCAAGAGCCCAGCCTTCCTGATGGAAAAAACTGGACCCTGCTTTGGCGCTGCTGTGATTTAAAGGCAGTTTTGTGGAGATTTCTGAAATTCAGATGTAGGATGGGATACACCTACAGACCTGGAAAGGTTCAGGTTCAACAGCAGAGCAGCTGCTTTAGGGAGCTGCCATCCCAGTGCACTTGCTGGCTCCAGGGCTGGGAGGTGACATGAAGCCATGGCCAAGTCAGAGCTCCAAAATCAACAGATGAACACCCTGAGGCCGCCCAAGGCAGGCAGCAAGTGCCACCTGTCTGGGTTCAAGTGACTCCCAACACTTGGAGGGAGTGTGAACAGGAACTTAGGACTGCAAAGGAACCAAAGATCCAGCCTGACCACAGCACTGCAGACTTAGGCTGATCACTTCACTGAGGCTGAGAATCCACCACGAGGTGATGATGGACAAACCACTTCCCTCCTACAAGAAATTTCAGAATGTCATTTTGGAGTAGGCTGGATTCAATACACTCACACCTCAGCAACTGGTGTAACAGAGCAGCCTGTAAATGCCTGAGACCCAACCAGATCTAAGGCAGCCACCAGGAGTGTGTGGGATTGTAGGAATGACCACAGAAACACAAACACTGTGTGAGTCCTGTGTTCTGCTACAGGTCAAAAAGCTTCCAAGGTTTTTCCAAGAGTACCAAGGACAGCCACACTTGGAAGAAGTTGGGAAGTGTTTGTAGGAAATTGCACATTCAGTCAAGTTCAGCAAGAATAAGATCTCTGCCAGAAGCTTCCAGGTAAGGAAGATTTCTCTGAGAATCCAAGTTAATGATAAGAGATGCCAGGTAAGAGAGGCAGACCCCCAACACTTGTCACAACAGACCCACAACACATTGTCATGGCATTGACAATGCTCAGTGGCATCCAGCTGGGAGACAACAGCCTTGGTCAGGCACTTGAAGAGAAATGGAGATCTGGGAGCCACCAGCAGCACAAGATCTTCCTGGATGTGCTATTTTTGGGGCCCAGCCCTTTTGTGAGCAATGGGATGTTCTGCACTGCACACTCCGTTCCCAGACCTTGGCAGAACAAAGCAAACAGCAAGAGCCTAAGAAAAAATGGATCTAAGGATCCTCCAGCAACTTTGCCAGTCTCCTTTGGTCTGATCTCTAAGGAGATGTAGAGTGTGCACTTGTTTTCTTTACAGCAAAACTCATTAACTTTTATCCTTGTTTTTTTCCCCTGTTCCTCTGTACCCCATTTCCAATTTTGCTCAGCTCTATCATGACAAGAATTCCATCTTGGAAAGATTTCCCATGAAATCTAGGATATTTATCCCTAACAATAGGATGCAATTGCTAATTACAAGCCTAGCTGATAAAGCCTTCCAGTCACAACAGAAGATGAGACATTAAAAAGTCAGAAGAAAACAAAAGCAGTGTCTCATCCTAAAGATGAGTGAGGAGAGCAGCAGACTTGGTGGACACCTCATGGATTTAATATCTGTGTTCAGCAAGTTCATGATGAAGACTTCATTTATCACCATAATCTCCAGTCAAGTCCAACACTCCTCTGGACAGTCCTCAAAGACAAAGTCTGCACATGGTGATCTCAGGGATGGGAGAATGTGGAAGAAATGAACATCAGTGACTGAACATGCCCAGTTCAGAACCAGAGAAGTCCTTCAGACTATGAATGAATAAAGGATTATGGTTTTAAAGATTAAGCCCCTAATGAATGAACAGCTCCAGCAACCATTTTAACAAGAAAATCTGGGGATGTTTCAGTAATCACCGTTCTGGGGTTCTTAGACAAAGACTCCTGTAGCTCCATGTACAATTTGGAATATCCTGAGTGGGAAAAGCCCCACAGGGATCATGGAGTCCAAACCCTGTCCCTGCACAGACACCCCAACAATCCCACCCTGGGCATCCCTGGGAGTGTTGTCCCAATGCTCCTGGAGCTCTGGCAGCCTCGGGGCTGTCCCCATTCCCTGGGGAGCCTGGGCAGTGCCAGCACCCTCTGGGGCAAGAACCTTTCCTGAAATCCATCTTAAACCTCCCCTGACACAGCTCCAGCCCTTCCCTGGGTCCTGTCTCTGGACACACAGCACAGATTGGAGCTGCCTCTCAGGAAGAAATCCACAAACATAACCCCCCAGATTATCATGAGGCAAAAGGTGATGACTACAAAATTTTTTCTCCATATAAGCAAGAAATGTCAGGATCTTTCACACCAGAAAGCTGCAGTTTCCTGGAGCTCTCCCTGCAGCTCACAACAATCAACCAGGTCATCAGGAGAACCAAAAACCTGTATAAACCAGAACAGCTTTTAAGGTATGACATTTTCTCAGTTTTTTATCTCTCTACATTTTTGGCACACACACACACAACTGAGAACAGAGATGTCTTTTCCAACCTACTCCCACAGGCAGTTCATTTGCCATAAAATCCAAACTTTCTTTCACCTCTCCAAGATTTTAGCTTTATGTAAGGAAGTTGAGCTCACAGCTTCTCCTCCAAACCAGCAGCTGTTTAGAGTTCCCTTTTCTACACTGTTTATCCAAAATACAGCACCCTCTCCTAAAGAACAGGAATTCTCACCTCTCAATAACCAAAATTCCAAGCCCCTCTGCTGGAGGAAGCAGAGCTCTGAGCAAAACACTGCCAGCTGCTTCTCACAGCAAGAGGAGATGAGAAAGAACAAGTCCAAAATTAAGTCCAAAATTTTAGAGGAAAGGTCTACAAAGGCAGCAGCCAGATGAGTCCACTCAACCCTCAAATAAAACATCAATGCTTCAGCAGAAGAGGGTGCAAGGGAACAGCTCCACGTGAAGGTACCTGCTTCTGGAGTCAGGCTGCCCTGGTGCCATTTTCCTGGCTACACTGCTCACAGGACTCTTGGCTCTACAGGCCCTGCATGAGATCACATCATTCTTTTGCTGGCATCTGGATTTCAAAGAGAACACCAAGGCCTTTGATAGAGTCCTCAGTGCCTGATCTTTCTATGAAACGAGATGTCACAGATGTGAGGGAGGAATCCTTCCCTGTGAGGGTGGGCAGGCCCTGGCACAGGGTGCCCAGAGCAGCTGGGGCTGCCCCTGGATCCCTGCAAGTGTCCAAGGCCAGGGTTTGGAGCACCCTGGGATAGTGGAAGGTGTCCCTGCCCATGGTAAGGAGTGGAATCAGATGAGCTTTAAGATCCTTTCCAACCCAACCCATTCTGGGATTCTATGAAGTTTTCACTACTTGATCATGGCCTTTGAAAGCTGTAAAAGCAGCTGATGAGGAAATGCACAAGGCAGGGGGGACCTAAGGGGTCAAGCTTGAAAGACACCCAGAAGTGCAGATCAATGCATCTCTGGAGAGAGCCAAAAAACAGCTTTCCTTGAAAACATGGACAGGTGTAGTCTCATCAACATGCAGAACCTCTGCCCTTCTTTTCAAACAACAGCTTGCTGAGCTTCAAGAGATTTCTGGATGCAACTTTTAACTTATGGATCACTGATAATATGTGAAATCATATGGAGATGTAGGTGCCTGGTCTCCATTTCAGATGGCAACTTTTACTCCAACAGCAGAAATATGCAGAGTATTTTCCACCACTGTTCCAGGTGAGTGATGGTTACTGTTACCACACAGAACTGATTAAAGACAGAAGTGTTCCAGGAAAAAATGACTACTAAAATTGCTGAATGAATTATGACCAGAGTTAAGTTCCTTCATCTTTCTTACCTACATTTGCTCATTTTCATTATTTTCTTTAATCTGAGCAATATTAAAGCACTACTGCAACACTCAAAAGGGGATATTCACGGCCTCTGTCTTTGTGGATAGCTCATCTATTTTCTCTGGAGGTCTGTCCAGTTGCCTTCATATTCACATGCTGCTTTTGCAGAGTAACAGAGCAAGGGAATCACTCTTCAAACCACTGGGCCACCTGGAATGTTCAGATGTCTAATTTAAGTTCCTCTGTGACCTCTGCACTCCCTGAAACTGCTTCAGCTTGGTTTTGGGAAGAGATCCTACTTGTAGGTTGGATTACTTTTAGGAATGCCAGTCTTGCCTCCACATCTGCAATATCCTGAGCTATGGGGAGAAGAGCAAGGATTTGAAGGCCCCAGACCCTGGACTGCACCAGCAGGAAAAGCTGTGGAATGACCAGCCCCAGACTTGGAGCTTCTCTTCTAAAAACACTGCCCTGGTCTCACGTTCAGGGGTGGTTTTCAGCAAATCCCATAAAAGGAAGTTTTTTACACCCAAATATCATCCATATTATTGAATTTGGGACCAGAACTCCTGGTTTTGATTCTCTGCAATACAGGCCACCTGATGCTCCCAACTGCACAACCCTTCTGTGCCCAGGCAGATGTTCCCAGCTGTTGAGAAATGGGCAGCAGGATGTAGGGAACCATCAAAGCTTGCTGGTTTGCTTGTTTACAACCACTGAGCACCCATTCACACAGGAAAAAAATCTTTCCCAGCTGGATTGATGAGTAAATGAACACAGAGAGATGAAAAAAGCCTGAATTTCTGAGTTCACACTCCAAATTCCAGGCATGTTCAGGTCTCCATGACTGACCTTGCCCTCCCCACAAATATTGGGCAGGGAAGCAGGGAGATGTTCTCCCTTGGCCAGAGGAGCAGCAGCATCCAGCACTCTCCCCACTGTCATCATCCAGGCACTGAACAGTGACAATGATAAAAAGTGCTCCAACACAAGCACTGCACAGATTCTGTGCAATGGGTTTCAACTTTTCTTTTTCCCCCATCTACATTTCCATTTTGGAACATGAAGAGGTGATGGAACATGAATGGAAGATTATTAAAGGGAAAGCTCATCACCATGAAACATTTCTGTGGCTAACACAGGGACAGTTGTGCCCCAGCACACAACCTCAGAAGTGAGGACACACCAACACCTCCTGGAGAGCCCAGGTGATGTGCTGGGAACTTCCCTCTACACTGGGAAAGAGAGATGTGTGTGCATGATTGGGACAACACAGCATGTTCCACAGAAAACCCAAAAAAGAGAAGCTCTCCAAAAAGCTCTCCATCTTCTCCACCCAAAATTAATTTTATCTTTATCATCTCTTGGTCACTGAAGCAGAGAGATTCAGCAAATCCAAGTGAGTAAGGAATTAAGGCAGACACAATCCCAGCCCCACAGGAGGCTGCCATGGGATTTAGGAATGACCTTGGGATATCAGCTGTCTTCCCCAGAGCTCAGAGACTTGGGAATACCTCACAGCCCATATTTTCACCAGCTCCCAAAGGGGCCTGGCCATGCAATCCCTTCGAGCCACCCAAGTAGCCCAGGGGTGACATTTCAAGGAAGACAGAAGTTGTGGGCTCTGCTGCTGAAGGCAGGCCACAAGGTGCAGCAGCTTTGCACAGGGAGTAAAAGAACATGAATATATTCATCACACATATCAATTTATCAATGAAATTGTATGTCTGGAGTATGATACATGAGTCATTCATCATTTCTGCCCTCCAGCCAACCTAACTGGGTCCTACTTTTATCTGCTCAGTGCAGGCAGTAGAAGAGCTGGCACTACACTGGGTGCAAACACACACACACACACACACAAAATAAGGAAAAATTCCCAAGGCAGGTCTCCAGGAGAGCAGGGATCCTGCCCCTGTCAGATGTGCTGCATGAAGTCCTCTAACACACACATTTCTAGGTCACTCTAAACTGGGGGGAGCAGGGGACACCAGTCTGGGGGGCACTCAGGGTATGGGCACACCTGCAAAAGATGGGATTCAGATGCTCCCAGGAAGCATCTGGGCAAAAACCTGAAAGCCACAGCATCGTTTTAGATTTTAACAGCAGCAGCAGCAACAATCACACAGAAAAATGTGGGCTGCTGGCACTGCTGCTGCAGCTTCCCTCCAGTCACAACCTTTAGCTGTGGTCACACACACACACACACACACACTCACACACGCCGTGCATGCAGGAATGGGAAGCGATTCTGGGGATGCAGAAATGGTGGAGTGGAAGGAGAACCCCCATGGTGGAGGCAGGAGAGAGCGGGAAGGGGAGGGCTCGCTGGTGTAATTTCGGGGTTGGTCCAGGATGATGTCATAGCACTGAGCAAGTGCCATGGCCAAACCGTGGGGACTTTCTAACGCTTCCCGTCCATCTGACCTCTAATACCAGCGGGCTGAAATATTGAACAGGACATTCATTTTCCCTCTGAAGGGCCATTTTTCAGTGCTTTCCCTGGAAAAGGCTGCTCCCAGCCCGGGTGGATGCGGGGTGGGGGAGGCGGCACACAACTAACTCTTCCGGCACACACCCCTTTCCCTACTACAAAGGCATCCACAGCAATCACATTTGCAATAGTACAAATCTTGATGGATTCATCCCATCCCCCTCCCCTTTGTAAGCCCACAGCCCGTTCTAAGCCCTCTCTCTCTCTCTCCCTTATCGCAGCCCAGCAATCCTTCCAAGGGATCAGGCTGGAAAATGCAGTCTCGGTACAGTTGCTTGAAATAAATGAATGAATGAAAAAAAAAAAAAAAAACCAAACCAAAAAAAAAAAAACCCCAGGCAGCAGCTCAGGGCGGACAGCAGCGATCTTATTGTTCCCAAACCCATCTGCATCTGCATCTCCACGGCGTTCCAGCAGCTCTCACACACCTCACACACACTTTATGCACATGCAGATAAATATATTAACAAAAGGGACAGGTGGGAAATGGAGGGTGGGAGGGAACGAGATGCTATTAACTTCACCCAGGAAGGTGGGTTACCTCCCATTGGAAATGCAGAGAGAAATTAAACATATTTCACGTTTCCATCTCACACACACACACACACACAGAGGTAAAATCTCTTTCAGTGCAATATCCAGTTGCTATGCCAACAGCACCAACAGCACGGAGGCGATGGCAGAGGGGCAGCGAGCGGGGTGGGATGGGGTAAGGTGGGATGGGATGAAGGGGGATGGGGTGGGATGGGGGCTCTTACCAAAGATGCTGATTTGATTGTGGCAAAGCGCTCTCGGTTCCGGTAGTGGAGGGCCTGATTCTGCACTGACTGGGTAGGCCGCACCTCAGGCCTGCGATCCCTGTGGCCCACCTCATCCCTTATAAATACATGATCCTGCAGAAATGGATAAAAACAAGGAGAAAGTCCGGCTGTGCTCTTCCCGCGGCGGCTGCCTCTCTCTCACCCCTCTGTCTGCACAAGCGCGGCTGTAGGAGAGGCATAGTTCAGCTCTCTGCTTAGCCCCGGCAGCTCCCACCGTACAAAATGAATAAGCAACACATTGCAGCTCGGCTCGGCGTGTCAGCTGATCGCTAGCAGGATGCCTCCAAATCCCTGGATCGGGCTGCCTATTTTTTTTTTTTTTTTTTTTAAATCTCCTTTTTTTTTTTTTTTTAAACCTCCAGTATTACATATGTGCCAGAAAATAGCGAGTCGGGAGCAGAAAGCAGAGCAGGGCGATCGGAGTCCTCGGGAAGGTCGGGTTCAAGCACTGCAAGCCAGCGATCCCGGTGAAAACGTGATTCCCATGTCTAGGCACGGAGATCCTGTTCCCTTTTAACACCACAGCAACATCCTGCCTCATTCCCTTTGCCGAGCCGTGTGTCCTCGATAGGGTTTCTTTGTCCCTCGTTTGCTATCTGCTGTGGGGGACGAGCATCCTGCCTAAATCCACAGCAGGCTGGAGAGGACCAGGAAAGCCTCCGTGACCACTCAGGGATCCTGCTTTCCAGTCATGATCCTGCACAGTTCTAGCACTTTCTCTCCACAGCCCACAAAGGATTTTTTTTTTTTTTTTCCTTTTTAAAGCAACAGCTCCCAGGTTTTAGCAGGAATGGTTCCCAGTGCAGCTTCCCTCCTGCTCCCCGGCAAGGCTTTGCTGGGAGTGGATGTGCCCTTCCCAAATGGGACAAGCAAATTTGGGAGTGGAACAAAGCTCCAGGAGAATCCCTCCTCAAAAAGGCCAGCAAAAAACCACACCACCACGATTTTCCCATCTGGAATGGTGGCTGCCAAAAGTCAGCACACCTGCAGGAATGGAGCAGCCCTTGGGCACCCGGCACAGCCCGGCAGCCTTGGCTCTGCAGGGCCACTCTGTCACTCACCACAGTGTCATGACTCCCATCCTCAACCTCCAGCTCATAAAGCCTCACAGGAAGGCTGAGATTCTTAGTGAATTAAATCAAGTTTCCAGTTCTCTAGGGTGCAAAATAAAGGCTGCCAGTGCCTAGAAAACCCTGTCAGGAAAGAGCTGCCCCCATGAGCAGGAGCAGCTCTGCCACCCTGGCAGACACCAGAAGGTCAGAGAGCCCCACAGTGAGAAAGCAGCCACCATGGAATGGTGGTGGTGCCTCCATCAGGACACTGCTGTCATCCCCATGCTCCTTTCCCACCCCACACACATCTGGTTTTCCCCTCTGCTGGCCTCCATTTCCAGCTGCATCTCACCTGGACCCACACACTCAGCCTTTTTCAATAGGATTCTGAAAATGAGTTCAAGCAAAAGCCAATGCGGTGCAGAAATGCTGATATTAAGAGCTGAACACTGCATTGATTGAAAGTGCTTTAACCCCAAAACCTTTCCTTATCCTTCCTTTTGAGTGTTCCCAGTCCATGCTCACCTTTGCCTTGCCTTTGCACAGTGCCCAAGGCCACCACAGAGCCAAGTCTGCACCAGCTCCTCTACACCCACACAAGGGACACAGAACGAGCCTAAACAGCTAAAAAGGACAGTTCTCCATAGAGATATGGGGTGTCACAAAAAGTTGCAGTTTCATTTTATATTGGTCATCCTTACACTGGGCATTTGTTGCATTGTCAAACAGGAAAGGCAGTGAGACCACAAGAGAAATCACTGAGAATTGGGTTGCTCTCAGATTTCCAACTTGGTGTGACAGGCAGGACTCTTGGACTTGCCCACAGGCACATATGAGGCTCTAGAACAGCCATTCCCAAAAATCCTGATTAAACATTTGGAGTCCAACAGCCTCAGTCAAGTTTAACCTGACTCATGGTCTGACCAGAGGGATCTCAAACCTTGTAGTGAGAATCTACACCAGACTCACCCACCTGAAGCACACAGGAGCCACCAGTGCTGTACTCCACAATGAAATTAAGGTGGGGGCAGGACAAATGTCATCCCTGGTCACACAGAGCCTGCAGCAGCACCTGAGAGAGCAAAGGGCTCCCAAGGCTTGATAAACAATTCCTCAATTCCTGCATCATCTCCTTCTCTCCATTATGTTGGTATGGCAGGGAGAATGGGAAATATTAAATCCAGAGAAGCTACAAATCACTGTAAAAAACCCCAACTTTTAAATGGGCATTCAGACTTTTCACAATGCTCCAAAACAACAAGTTTAAGTTGCAGTAGCTTTTTATGCTGGGAAATTAATCTGTGATTTACTTTTTCTTATCCAAGAGGTGGATTTTTAGAGGGCAGAATGTCACCCTGGTCTTGTTTTATGGGATCTCTGGTTACCTCAGTGCACATGAGAAGCTCAGAGCAGAATTAAATTGCCCTTCAGGAATGTGAATTAACCACATTCTGTATTTCAAACTCAGCTGGGCAAGGAATGGGAAAATTCCTTTGCAACTGAGCAAGCCAAGGGACCAATTTCAGTGGTTTTCCTTGGCACCCCTTAATCTGGTACCTGAGCATTCTGCCCCCACCAACTCTCAGCTAAGCCCAGGGAACCTTCATAGGCACAATATTTTTTTGGAAAAGCTGTCCCACTTCCAAAAGTAAAATCACTTGGCGTGAAGAGTTACCAAATCTAACAGGTTCCACTGCCCCAGGGACAGCTGGTAAGAGAAATAAACCTATGAGTAGCCACATCTCCACCAACCTTCCTCAGATGAGGTGACTGATGGCAAAGACATCTCCCTACAAACCCAGAAAAACAGAATTTTGCTATTTTTATTTTAAAACAAATTCTTCTCCCCAAAAAATTGCTAAGAGACACTGCAGTCGCAACTGTTGGCACAGATCAGGAAATTTTGTTTCCAACTTTTAGCTTCAGATGTGTGGGAAACAAAGACTCAAAATTGGCACCTCAGTTCAAGGCAGGCACCCAGTAACTAAAATCTGACTGAAAGCACCCAGAAACTCATCAAGTTTGGGTCAGGGTGCCTCTCAGCCCTAAGTCTGCATTTCAAACCCAGGTTTGTTTTTAAAGTAATGTATCTTCAGTATACATTTCATTTTAAACCTATTTTCTGTGGTTTTTTGCAGTATTTGTGTTAAGGATGCAACTTTGGGCATGCTCAGTTCACAACTCACTCATTAAAATCCTTTTATTCAGGGCCAACAATCCAGAATCTTCAACTTCTTACTCAAGGAATAATTTGTTCTCCTGACTGTATCATCCACATAAACATTTTATAGGTTGATCAAAACAAAGAGAGGGATTTGGCTGGGACATTGCCAGGACAAAACCTTTCTCAAATATTCTCACAGCATCATCTGACCAGAGCTGGTGGAGCTTCCAGTGCCTCCAGTGGTGCTTCCAGCTGGATGTGAATGGCTGCTCCTGGTGAATTGTCCAAGCACCTCATAAAGAGTTTGTGTCAAACCACGAGTTCAAAACCCACTACAGAGTGGATTTTGCTCCGAGTCCCATCCCAGTTCTACCACACATTGTCTTTCCATCCTTTTCCTCACTGAAAAAAAGGCCTTTACCATCCAAATTCTGCCCAGCCCAAAGCTGGGAAACCTCCACCTTCTCCTCAGGAGGAGCACTCCCTTTCACACTGAGGTTTTTGGCTGTGCACACCAAATAAAGCCTCCACAGACACAGGAGGACTCAGTAACTGCCAGGGCTGCCAGTCTCCTACACAAACAGGAATGACAATTTCCAAGCCACACTAAGGACTTTTATGGAATTGCAGCAAATTCCTGCTTTTCAGGAACTTAAAGAGTAAGGAAAACAACAGTGTGGCATTTTTGTCCTAACACACTGCATTACATGCCTGGATAATTGACAGAGCTTTAAGCTCTCCCCATGCACGAAATTCCCCACAAATGTGAAATTAATTGGAACAACAATAGGAGATGTGCATAGGTTAATTTACAGGATCTGGGAAGTCACTCAAGTTGCAGCAGTTACTGCAAAGGTACTTTATTATTTACAGACATTGGGCAAGAATTTGTGATGATCAACTACAAGCATCCTATTTTCCATCTTTTTTGTTATAAACCAGATCTTACTCACAAGATTTCTCTGACATTTTACTGCCCAAGTTTCAGAAAGCACTGATGATTTTAAGATTGAAGAAAGAAACAGCAACAACTGAGTACTGCAGTTGAAAAACCCCAATATGGTACTGGCTTTTTGTTTAGATTAAAAGATTACAACATATTATTACAGTTTTGTGGAAATAAAACAGTAATAGATTCATTGAGGACAATGAAATAATATTTCTGGGAAGCCACCTGTGCCCACACTGCCATTTACCAGCAGCTGAACAAAACAGGTGCCAAAACATCTCTGATGCACCAGCTGATGCCTACACTCACTTTATTGTCTTACTCTGGGAGCCAAAAATCTTTATCCTCATTTTTAAGATGAATTAATTGATATTTATCTGATTTTAAAATCTAGGTTATATGTCTTTGAAGCACAATGTATTTGGAGTTTAACTCCCTGCCCCATTTTGTCATTTTTAGGGGCTCTCAGATACAATTGGGTTTGTACCAGAGCTGTCACTTACTCTTCAGCTCTCAACCTGTGCAGCTGAAGAACTCCTGAAGGGAGATGGATGTGAGAATGTGCATCCATAGGCAACATGATCCCTGCATGGAGTAGCAGAGTTATTTATTGAGTTCAGAAGAGACCCAGAGCTCTTACACTGAACACAGTGAGATGTACATGGAGGAGCTCACCAACCTGCAGAAGGGCAAGGAAAACTTCCTCATCCAAGCCAGACATCTGAATTTCCTGAAATGAATATGCTGGTGATTAAGGTGTCCTCCTGAGGGAGCAGGGTTTGATCCCAAGGATGGGCTTCCTGCCTGAGTAGCTCACATGATTGCCATTTTTTATCTCTCAGGAGTTCAGGACACAGCTATAAACTAAATAACACGAAAAGCTCCACATTCAATTATGGCTTGTTATTATTTTCAATATTTTATTCCTGTTCAGTGATTTTTCTTCCAGCCTAACCTGAAGACATGTGACAGGTGGGAGTCACCTCAGTTCTAAGCACAAGTTGAAAACCATGGAGCTCTGCTGTGCTGTGAAGGGATAATGCTGTGCCTGTTTTCCACAGAGGATTCATCCCAACAGCAGCAAACCCCAAGCACCTTGGCTGCCATAAAATAGCCAGTGGCAATTAACCAGATCAGAACAGGTCATTTCACTTACCCTGTGACCACAAAACATTTTTGGAAGTTACAGCCAACTAGCAGCTGTTAAAAAAAAGAAAGAAAATGAGTTGTTTACAAGTGCTTTTACTCCATCAGGCTCCTCCCTAAGCCTCAGGGTTGCTGCTGGTCACAGGACAGATGCCAGGAGTGCTCCTTGGAGATGCCTGAGGCTTCTCCCAGCCCAGCACCACACAGGGATGGGCTGCTCCTCATCTCCTCCAGGCCAAGGCCACCCCAGCCTGGCTCTCCACACCTGGCAGCAGCTGGAAGCACTGAAGGCTGAGAACTGCACCTCACACCACTCCATCCATCCTGCATTTTACTCACATGTGACATTCTGGGGCTGTGGCCCAAAACACCAATGGGCCTCTGACACTTTAGACCTTTGAGCCATAGAAAATACCAACTCTCCAGGCCATTTTGCCATCTTGGACCCCTTCCACAATCTGGAAGGTGTTAATTAACACATTTGTGGAATATCACAATTTTACACAACACTTCTGACTTCACTCATGTCAAAATCATCTGCTATGTGACCCTATACCCACAGAGTGCTGCTTATGTTCATCAGTATTTTCTTTTTAGCCTTTAAAAGCTGATTAAATGCAAAACAAGAGCTTAAATTAAACTGGAACCCCAGGTTCTTCTCATTGTGTTTATCAGGGGCTCAGAGTGATAACCAAAACTCAGCTTCATCCCAGTTTCCAGAAACACAGTTAAAGCACAAACTGAAATCTTGGCAGAACAAGGAACTTTAACGTAAAGTGGGAGGTATGTGGATATAGCCCCCTTGAAATGTCCAGCTCCAATTTTATTCTCTTCACATATATTAACACACACATGAAGCAGTTTTCCATTTAAAACTGCATTCCTCAAAGTAACAAAGAATTTAAAAAATAGTGCAGTAAATTAAAACAATATATTTGCAGACTGGAATATGCCCTGCTACACATAGTCCAAATCTGCTTTATGAATTACATACAGCAGAAGGGAACATTTTCCAATGGAGAAGGACTCTAGTCCAAGGATCAGCAGTCCTAGCCAATTATTAACTGTTTTGTGAAGACCATCAGTGCAGACCTGAGCTTTCTGCTCCCAAAATTACCCTAAAACACCTGTGTCAAGTCATCTAAAGGTGATTTTTTTTTAATAATACTTCAGTTACAAGTGTGCAAGACACCCTGGGATTTTTTCAAACCAGACAAAAACTTCCATGTGGTGTCCTGTTTGTGCACCCTACTCAACTGAACAGCTACACACAAGTCTAGGAGGACTGAACTTACAGCATCAGAAATCCTGCATTTGTACTTTACAAGTGTCATACAACCACTGTAAAACGTAATATTAGTCTTAAAACAAGCAGCAACTCTACTCCTTTCACAAATGCCATTTATGTCTGGTCAGGGCAGCTCAGGCTTTGTTTTTATCAACTGTAACAACTCTGAGCAGTCATTATAACCTATGAACTCTGTGTAAATCAGTCCCTCAAACTTCCATTTTAATGCACCAGTAAATATGGCTATTTAACAACATGAAATTAAAGTTAACACACATTTTGAAAGCCTATACAAAATAAGGAAGAGCTCCAATCATAACCACCCAGAACATCCATCAGTGGTGCTGCTCTTCACTCAGAACAGTTCCATGGGCTGGCATTGGGTACCTAACACCTTATTTTCACCTTTCTGAATAAACAATCTTCTCTAAAGATGCCAAGAGTCTTCAGGACAGAGGCAAATCTCTAAAACCTTTGCAACTTGTCTACCAATATCTTTAAATATGTAAGGCTATGTTTTGTTGAAGATAAAATTTTTCAATAGTTCTTAATATTCAACAGCACAAACCCTGCACTTCAGGAGGAAAAACTGCTTACAAATATTTAGTTAGTTACAACCAAGCTTTACTGTAACCTTACAAACAAGAAATTCCTACTTTTCATGCTGCTGCAATGTTTTAGCTCCTCTGGCAAAAAGCAAACGTTCACTTTGAAGTTCCTTACAGATGAAACCAACAGAACCAACCTACATTTTGGTACCCACTAGCAAATGACACTGCCAAGGCCAAGCCAAAACTATTTTAGTCAGACAAACAGTGGAGATGAGATGCTGGCTTACAGCTAGACAACCTTAGCTCGATATTCAGGCCTAAGAAAATGAAAAGCAACAGATCACAGCATGCAGCAAAGGAGAGGAAAGCATGCAGTGGAACTTGACTCCAAACATACCTCGTGGGAAGGGCCCAGAGTTCTGCACACTTCCACTCTTCATGGGGAAATCCGAGTGCAGGCAGGTTTTAATCACACACTGTGCCTGGCAGAGGGTTAGCTTGGCTGCCAGGACCAGCACAGAACACAGGGCAGGCATTCCCAAGGAAACAAGGATGGCACAAGCACAGAGAAGGGAGGCACATGCAGGGCTGGGCATGCGGGGAATGGGGTGACCCTGCCTAGGCACTGACAGCTCTTTCAGTAGCGACCTCTTTTCATGGGCAGAAGTTGTTCAGATGCTTTTAAAGACAAAAACCCCACAGAAGTTGACTCTGGCAAGCCCAGCAGCAGCTCCTGCTCTCAGCACAGAGCACCAGGGCACACGTACCTTCTTGTGAACAACGGAGGAGGTGGAATTAATGGTGCTCTCGTCACTATGCATCATGACCAGCTCAGGGCTGCTCTCATCCAGGACCTCCTGCATGCTGCTCACACTGCTGCTCTGGCTGCCTGTGCTCACAGACATGCTGGGAATGGAATGGTTGCTGCCCAGACTGTCCATCTTCCTACGCAGGTTTGATCCATGCTCACTGTCCTATAAAACAAGGGGCATCAGTTACAGATCCCGCAGGAGATCACCTGCCCAGCAACACCCAGAGTGTCTGCAACACCCACAGTTTGTTTTAAAGGTGACTCTGCAGACTTCAGGGGTCTCTGGGCATTATTTTGCCAACTGCACATCTCAAAGGGCTGTTTGGGTTCTGGAATGCTCTGTATCAGGCAAGCAGCTTCTGCCTTTTCCCCTCAGTCTGATTACATCAGGTTTCAAACCAGCTTTTTTCCACATATCCTGAAGTCTGGGCATGGCTCTTGCCTTGATAGGCAACATCCAGGAATACTGGATTGCTGGTGGAAGGAGTCTCATAATTAAGAGAAACGATCCAAGTTTGAATTAAAACAATGCTTCAAGTCAGGATCTGCTATAATACATTTCCTGAATCACAAAATATGTAAGACAATGATCCCATTTATTATTTGATATATTCGACATGGTGTAGAGATTTTAACCTCCATGTCTCAAGCAGTCAGCAACTTGATTTTATATTAAAAAAAACAAACCTTGAACCTTATGTTTTCATCCAAGATAAAGATGAGTGAAGAATCTCAGCAGGTGACTCAGACCAGCCTGCATTATTATAGGGGTTAAAACTTGGATATATATAAATAAAGATTCCTCATGTAAGAGGTATTTGTGATTCTACAGACAAATATCAGGAGTTAGCAGCCTTTTTTTCTTCTTCCATACCCATAGGAGTACAGTAATGCCAGAGTATGCACTTAGTCTGGACTGATTTAGAGAATTTATGGAGTCCTTTGTAATTAACTAGTGGCACCAAAGAGGCTCGCAAGGAGCTCACAGTGAGGACAGAACTCTGAACATCCTTCAGCAGCTCCTGGGGTGAAGCAGCCTTGACTCACTAAAATGAGCAGCCTGCTGCTGCATCCAGTTTGCCCTGGCCTCTGAAGGGAGCTTGGGGAGAATTCCATTACAAATCAATTAACAAGGAGCTCATTTTGTTGGAGACCGACAGAAAGATAAAATTGAGACTTGACAGATTTGCCTTTGATTGTGTGATTATTTTTTAAGCAATCAGCAGATCATTCAGAGCCTGTGTGAGAGCACTTAAAATCCAGAATAATACTATTTTACAGAGAACATAGGCACAGGGGAATGAAAATATTTTCAGGATGCTTATATAGAGTTGCAGAAGAAATCACATAATGAAGGATCTGAGGCTGTGTCATTGATGAATATTTATGCAGGAAGGACAGAGATGAGATTGCATATGCAACCTTAGCACTGGCATCCTGACTTCACCACTTTCTCCTTCTTGGAAGGGCTCTGAGGAAAGCATTAGTAATATTTTGCATGTTAAAGATTTTTAAGGCTCATCTTCCACCTTAGAAAGCCTAAAAGGCAGAAGAAGGAAGTGCCTGGTGGCATTTCCAGCGGGGCAGGTTGTGTCCCCAGTTCAGCACGTGCTGGGTGTGCTCTCCCTGCCCAGTTAGTGACACACACGAGCAGTGACACCTCCTGTGCTGGGACAGGGCTCAGGGGTCAGTGCAGAGCATGCTGTGCACATGCAGAGTGTCAGCTGCATCCCTGCCATCCCTGCAGATACAACAGCTCTGATCCCTGCTTTCTTCAGGAGTGGGGACAGGAGGAACAGAGGACACACCTTGGAGCCAAACACCACCACGTGTCTCCTGTGGAGCTTGGAAGTGCTCAGCAGCCATGTGGAAAACCCCTTCCCTGGCACTTTGCTGCCCTGTCCCTCTGCTGACAGCCTGGCACAAGAGGGGAGAGAAACTCCCCCAGTCCCCAGCAAAGCTCCAGGTCTGGAAGCTGCAGGGGACCTTTAATCACAGCAGGTGCTGTTCTCGCTCCTTTGGGGCATCCTCACAGGGAGGGGGAGCACAAAGTGGCAGTCCCCTCCTCCTGCAGCTCCACCTGAGACCCACACGCCCATTTCTTCAACCAGTTCAGCTTTAGAGGAGCCTCTGACACTCCCAAACCTCCAACCCAAGCCCCTGAAGATCCTCTGAGCTTGGGCAGCTCGCTGTGTGCTGTTGCCTCATTCCACTGGAGCAAAAGGAACACAGACATCAATGTGTCTGTCAGTGTTCTTCATTGAGAAGCAGTCATGGATTCATTTATGCATTGTGCCTGCACCAAGTGACATTAATTTCCATCTAAGCTCATCAATTGAAAAATGACTGGTTTCCTTCTCTGAGCCACAGGGTCAATTATCATACACTGATTAAGTGGGTTGTTTATTACAAGATTTACACCGAAGCTGCATTTTAGGTCTTTAACCTTTTTCTTCTTTAACATTAAAGAATTTAAAAAAAATAAGTCTTACTAATTCAGTAATTTGCTTTTCAGCTCATGAGAGGCCAATTACTTTACAGTAAAGTTATGGTAATTGAAAAAATATTAACATTAATGGAGTTGTTTTGACTGTGCAGATGAGAAAGAAAAGCTTGGGCTGTCAAAGACCCTCCTCCACACAGGCTGGGAGCCACTTCTCACAGAAGTGAGAACTCATTCTCCCTCAGAATGAGTTTCTTCCCTAAGGCTTCCAGAAGAAAGGGCAGCACTGGAAAAAATCCAAAGTTTCACATGTACAGTAATTGGCAGCTTTAACACTGAGCAAGGACTACTCTCACTCATTATCCTCTCCTGTCTCTCTGCTGATCCAGGTGATATTCCAACAGCATTCCTCACCTGGGCTGTGCCTGTTCTGCCACCCTAAGGACAGGAACATCTCCCTGAATGACGTGTAAGAGTGTGAATGGGGAAACAAAGCCCGAGTACCTCCTCCTCCTCCTGGGACTCGTTGAGGGGGCCGTTTCGTGTCTCCTGGAACAGGATTTTCTTCATTTTGCGGTACTGGAGGTTGTCCAGCTCCCTCACTGCATCCTTGGTCCTCTGGATGAGGTCTATGAGCACCCTGGGCGGTCGCTCCCGGCGCACAAAGTCGTGCTGGGTTAAAGGAAACACAACACCTCGTTTCAGAGCCCTGAGGTCACAGCTGCCATTCTGCAATTTATCTGTTCACATCTAATAACTGCTAACACCCTTTCTCAAAGACTCCAAACACACCGAGCTTGTGCTGGGGTCAGGTTTTCTGAGCTCTCCAGGTTACACAGACAATTTGTTCCTTCCTGAGCTGGTTCACTCCAAACACACAAGGTGACACTTCAAACCTTGGAGACACAGGAACGAACAAAATGCAACCAGAACCAAGAAGAATCAACCTGCAAGGATTTATCCTGTATCCATCTATTCCAATTCACACATAAAACCAGTAAGGAGACCATAAAGTTTATCTATACCTAAAGCTGTTGTAGCCAGAGTTGAAATCAAATCAGGCTCTTGCCAACACCTGCACAGGTTTTAAGTGCAGACTTAATAAATTCTTTAATGGTATTTAGGAACATGATTAAAGCCCCTTCTGTGATTTATCACATACATTCTCCTGAACTGTACAGCTGGCAGTGGATAGAAACGTCTCCAGCTTTCCCACTTAACCTTGGCTAAAGCAGACAACCTGAGTGTACACTTGCCAATACTGTGTATGGGATCCCTACAGCTGGGTGTGCTGCTCAGCAGCTCCCGAGGGGGGTGGCTTCAGGGCACAAACATCCTCTGCATGCTGGTAGAAAAATCTACAGTGAGAACAGAAGAATTTGCAATGGAAAAAAAAAAAAAAACAACGAAATTTGGGGAAAGAAAAGTTGCTCTCTACTGCACATTGCAAATGCCACAAGGGGCTTTTGTTAGAGCCTTAAGAGCTGGACCCACCTGCAAGGAAATTCTCAGGAGGGTCATCCCTGCCTGCTCAGCCTCACAGCTCTCCTGTGGGCTCAGCTCAAGAGTGAATTCACCCCCTGGAGCTGGAGTGACCAGCACATGGAGCCCCAGCCTGCCCTAAAACAGGAGCCTTCAACAAAAGAGCTGAAAGGATGAGCTAATCATCTTTTAATGATTTGTGAATTAACAAGGAAAGCATCATGCCACAAGCTGATCTATCGTTTTTAATTGAATTCAAACTGTTGTGCATTTGAGTTTTGCTAGTGGGGACAGCCACTCATTCCATTTTTTGCTTGTAGTGATGGTGTCTATTTTTGAATCAGAGCTAAAAGTTCTAAACATCATTTCACACAGAAACAAAATGAATCATTTCTGCTCCTCAGTGCAGATAAACCACCATTTATTTCTCTGTGAACAGTAACAATCTGCAGCTTATTTATGATTAGAAAAAAGAAGCCATTTTTATCTCACTGTAGATCATTTTTAGAAAGCAGCAAAGCATTTGGAACCATGATCCTGAACCTAAATCCATTCTATGTGTGCACTCAAATACTAAAATGTGACCACATGAAAAGTGTAGGACAGACATAAATAGAAATAAAATATAACTATAAAATACAGAATATATAGGACTTCAGACTCAGATCTCAGCTCTAATTGTTTGTACAGACTCCAAGCTAAGGCACTCCTGAAATCACATCCTTCAATGAACTCAGCCTGTTCCTAGAGAGCAGCAAGGCTGCCAAACCCCAGGAATGAATCATTCCAAAACCCACAACATAAACCTATTAGCTGGTCAGGGTGCTACAAGCAGAACCAGGGAACAAAACACTGATTTTTTGCCACAGCACAAATGTACCACAGGAAATAAAAAAAATACACCTGGTGCCAAAGGGAGCACAAACAGCTCCTTCATCATTTACCTGGAGAGGTCATTGGCACCAGCAGCCAGAGGGAGAGCAGGGCTAATAATCAACTTTAAAGAAAGGCAACACTTAAAAGAAAAGCCAAACCCTGATGGAAAAGGGGCTGGACAGGACTTCACACACCCCCCCTACCTTCTAATGGAAGGCTGCTCCTGAATTTCCCAAAAGCAAAGCCCTTGGAGCTGTAAACAGCTCCTCTATTTCCCAGGTAAACTGAACCCAAATGACTTAAACTGGAACTGATTTATGATTCACTGACAAAACCTTGGCAAACCTTACACACATCACTCCCAGGTCCCCCTCCTACAGGCTCTTGGCAATTATACACCTGTAAAAAGCCTTTCCAAAATGATCCAGTTATTTCCAAAACAAGTTTAATTAACTGGGTTCAGTATAGAAACCATTAAAGGAATTTAAACAACTTTTAGGTCTGGTGGTTTGATTAGGGGAGGAAGTCAGCCTTGGCCTATCCCCTTAATGCTACTTTTAACTGCTAAGTGTGATGTATGAACAGAGGGAAAAAGAAAACCAATAAAAGAGTGGATTTTTGTAAAGGCAAATATTTGTTCAACATCTTTACAATTATTTTGGTAGACAAACAAGATTTCCCTCCAGATTTCTGGAAAAGATTTGATCAATTACCCGTAACAAATCTGTTGATGATGGCCTTTCCTGAGGTATTTTCTGTAAGCAGTAATCAACAAATCCCCTAAAGGAGTCTGACCTGCAAATAATAATAATAAAAAAAAAATTTAAAAAAAAATACAAAATCTAAACGAAAGAAACAAGTTCAGGATCTGCAATATATTCAAACTTATCAGTGCAAAGCAGAAGAAAAATGTTAACTAATTTTTTCTTAAGTTCTCAGGCAGTGAAAGTGACTGAGTTTTTCCCAAATTCCAAATTGATCTCATCAATTCTTTCCCAGGTAAAGGCTGTTGAAACAACATGGACACACAACTATCCCCAAGCATAAACTGAAAACCAAGTTAGGACCAGGTGTACCAGTCACTGTTTATGATTTTACTTCAACTGCTTCAAAACAAATGGCAGTGGAATTATTGGGAACTGCAGAAATGCACTCACTGATCTCTGGGAGGTTACAGAGGGAACCCTGCCTCAGTAAAGCCCCTCAATGCTCAGTTCAACACTTGAGGCTTTATTTGAGGTTTTATCCCAACTGGAAAGAAGGAAACTGATCTTTTCAGTGCCACTGGACTCAAAAGGAGCACAAAAGGCACCTTGGTGACTCCAAGAGAGAAAACAGGGCACTGTAAACTTGCAATCAAGAGTACTGAGATGGTGCTGTGTTTATCCATAGCTGTCTGCACTGCAAATCCTGCACAAAATGTGGGGACCACACTGCAGAGAGCACAGCAAGCTCCTGGAACCTTGCAAAATGGGCAAAAGAGAGAGGATGAAATAAAGAAACTGGAGTAGTTTTAATAAAATGATCAGCATTTAAACAGTTGTGCTGCTCAAACGGCCAGCAGAGAAATGGAGCAACTTCACAGCTCACCAGGAGCTTTTGTTTGAGGCCTTCTGCAGACTCTGCCAAGCATCACCCCACAGCCACATTCCAATCTTGGGTACAGGGAACAGCAATCCTTTGCTCCCACAGAATAACGAAGTGTTCTTGTATCCAAGCTCAGATTCTGGAACAAGCCTGGAGCACAGTGAGTATTCACTGGCCACGGAGCTCTGAGGGCTTTTGGAGTCCCCCACTGACAAAAATATCCAATTACCTCCATATCCTCCTCCCTTTCTCCACATTTCAGCTGCACAGCAATGCTAACAACTTTTCTGCCAACAGGGATCTTTGGCAGCTGGAAACTTTGCTGATGCTGAGCCATGGCTGGTTTAACACATCTGAGAATATTGTAATTCCTACAGCAGCTACACCCCAGAATTAACACCTCCACACTTTTAGATTGTGGAACAGCCAGAGTGACAAAAGGTCAAAATTAAGCCAGCCAAGATTTGAGAACACACACAAATCACTGCACTGCAACAAATATGTTCATTGTCAGGCTTGAACTGTGCAGTGTCACAGGGCATTTTCAGGGAAATTAACAACAAAATTCAGCTGTCAATGGTTCTCTTACCATTCATTTGATTGTAACCTAGGGGAGTCGTTCTGGGCTATGTGATATAAGGCACTCATTGCATTCATGTTGAAAAGTGGAGGCTTCCTTTCAGCTGGAAAGAGAAAAGAACAGAAAGGTGTGATAAGGCTGGCTGGAAAAAAAGGAAATGTATGGAAATATGAGCAGGGTATCACTGCTAAATCAATCCTCAGTGCTGTTGTCATCACACTTAGGCCAATTATTTTAATGTTCCAAGTTAGACCAGGACACTCACTCAAGAAAAGCTGCTGTTCACTTGGAGAGGGATGACAAAAACCAAAGAAAGCAGGATACAAATTCTAAGGAAGAGTCTGCAGTAAATTTTAGTTTAACTGCAACATCTCACACCTGATCTGCTGTGGCAAAATCATAGTAAAACTAATCTCAGGCACAGTTCAGGGCCAGAACATGCTGTATCAGTCCCCACAGATCTTTGATGCACTGCTGGAACACGTAGATTACAGGAAAAAGTGGCTGCTCATTTGTCACTGCGAGTGGGACAGGTTACCAAATTCACTTGCCAGATGCCATGAACTCCCTCTCACTGCAATCCTTCCCAGTCCTTGCACCAAGACAGCACCTGCCCAGCAGCCCCTGACCTCTCAGGAGGGCAGAACTCAGAGTTCTGGGGGAGGTTGGTTCTCACCAAGGTCAGTGCTGCCAGGATTTCTCAGTTCTTTCAGGCCAGAGCAGTCCCTTGCCATGCAGGCAAACCACCACATCTGCTTTTTCTTAATCACTACTTCAGCCACATGAGGAATTAAAACATCAGCATTCAAAGAAAGCCAAGTGCTGCTCAACAAGAGATTTCCTCCCACTGCTGCCTGACCTTGTGTTCAGACAGGGAATCATGCAAAGGCAAAGTTCCAAGTTTAAAAAAGTTAATGCTTCTCAAAATAATTTTTTTTTAAAGAAAGTAAACCAGTCATCTCTGTAAAGTGGCTTTGAGGTTCCTGAGTAAAAAGCTCCACAGAAATTCTGGTACCAAGACTGTGTCTCCATAGGCTTGCACAGTCTCTCTCCTGCTGCTGTGATTTACTCCTTGAGAGGCTGGGACACGCCTGAACTCCACACAAACAAAAATCACTGGCCATGCACAACAACAGAAGGCTAACACTTCCAATTCTGGCATTCTTCATGTCAAAATGCAGACTGTGTCAGCATGCTGGCACAGGAAATACAGCCATGTTAGTTACTGGTTATCTACACCATCTCAGTTCTGGAGACAACATTTCTTCTGCACATCCCCCTCTTTGTTATCTCACACGTTTCTGCTGATTAAACATTCACCAATGATATCTTCAATGAACTCACCCACACAATAAGTTATTAGTGTACTGCTGTTAAGAAGAACGCATATCAAGACTGATTTTTGAAAATAATCTACTCAGCACATGCAGTGTCAATATTCAAACTTGAAACACACACTCAGAGTCTGCTCTGTGTACCTGCCATCACATCCACCTCTGCTCCAGGCTCTGTGGATGTGCATCATTTGCCCTTTGCAGTGCAAACCCTTTTCTTCTCTTCCTGTACAGAACCTGTCCACGATGATTCATGGCATAAACTTTTCAGCTGAGACTGAAGATTTTTGATTCAGACAGCAGGGAAGTAAGAAGAATTGAAAAATAAATGTAGCTCTCTTCTGACACAATCCTTAGGATACCAGTTGCCTTGACACAACAGCTGGGACAACTTTCTCAGAGTGCAGCTTGGAAAACACAGGTGACAAACCATGGTTTCCTCTCACTCAAAAGCAAAATGCTCTTGTTCTCCAGGGAATAACTGATCACACCAGACTAACATGAAAGCACAGTGCATTAGTGGCTTGCTCTTGATTTGCCAGCAAGTTTTCCAAGTCAGGCACTTTAAAGGGGAAAGCTGATGAGGAATAAGGATCTTCCCTTCTTGCAGAAGCTCCTAACACACTGCAGAGGTAATGACCCACCTCAGCTGCTGCGTGTTCACTCACCTAACTCGATGCATGTGATCCCAAGAGACCAAACATCCACCTTGCCATCGTACTGCCCCTCGTCCATTGCAAGGATCACCTCTGGTGCCATCCTGCCAACCACAGCAAAGGGGACACACAGGGTCACTCCAAGGTGCCTTCATCCCCTTTAGCAAAGCCACAGACCAGGAGAAACAGCAGAGAGCTGAGGAAAAGCGTGCTGGAATGGAACAGGCACTGAACATACCAGCAACTTATCAGAGGAAGGGGGAAAAGCAAAAGAGAAAAGGGAGAAAGAAAGAGGAAGGGAGGGAGAAAAAAAGAGGAAAGGAGGGAGGAAAAAAAAGAAGAAAGGGGGGGATAAAGAGGCAGGGGGAGAAAAAAAAAAAGGGGAAAGGGGGGAACGAAAGGGTAAACCCAATAATCTTTCTATTAGCAGAGTACACTGGCACATGGGAGACCCCCTATTTCCAAAGACCTTGTAGCTGCAGGCTAACAGCAAGGACTGGGAGAGCTCTAAAGGCACCACTTGTACCTTCCCCCAGGCCTCCCCTTGGCACACCTGGAGCATTTCCAGCAGACAAATGCAGCCTGTGGGTGCAGCTATGAATGGAACAGGGAAATTGGGAACAGTGGGGACATACAGGGGTCCAGGATAAAGGGATGAAGTGGGGACAGGGAAGCAGCAGGCCCAGCCTGCAAAGATTCAGCCTCTTAATTTGTGTTCTTCCAAAAAAAGGCTTCCTGCCAAACGGCCTCATTCCAAGGCTGGGCCACGGTGACCTCCCAGCACTGCCTGGGGCCTCTGCCACAAAATCAGTGGAGCATGGAGCTGTGCTGGTCCTCAGTGCTGGGAATGCCAAGGAACTCGGGTGACCCTTCAGCAATTCCTTCACAACAGGATTTAAGTAGCTGTGTGATTTCCAGTCAGACTAACAGGATCCCCTTTCTCCACAAGTGTCTCAGTCCCATCACCTGTGGCAAGTGAGAGTTACTTTCAAGCCAAAGCAAGAGTGGAGCCCTATCCAAGCACTGCACAGCCTAAACCTCTCCTTATGGACCCTGAGGAAGGACAGACTTCCTGAAGATCTGGGCACAGGGATGTCAGGGAAACTGCTTAGCTAATGAAGATTTTATCCAGGTATTATTATTGCATTGTGAAGCATTGGAAAGGGAAGAGAGCAGTTTTATAAAGGACTAAAGCACTGCAGGCTTCACTCACCAGTAAGGCGTTCCCACAAAAGAGTTGGCAGGGGAGACTATGGATGCAGACCCAAAATCAGCGAGTTTCACTTGACCTGGTTCTGTTAGAAGAATATTTCCAGCTTTAATATCCCTTTAACGGAAAAAAATAAAAAAAGAAAAAAGAAGTATTTAGCATGATGTGAACTCTGGTGAGATGCCTTTGTCTGCAATTTGTAATGCTGGGACAGAAAGACAGAGAGGAATTCACTGAGGTTGTTTCAGCAGCAAGCCCAGAGTAACCTCTACTCCTCCATTCCCTGACAGCACTGCTTCAAAAGGAATATTATGGAATATTTCAACCACAAGTGCTACGTGTACATCTCCACACTTCTGCTGAGGGAGAAGTGCTGAAGTCCTGTGTGTGTAAGAATGAACACCTCAAAAGCACCAGAGAGACAGCACAGGCTGTCCCCTTCACTGCCACCTCCCCTGTACAACAGCCAAAGGGATGGAACACCTGTCCCACAGGGAAAGGCTGAGAGAACTGGAATTGTTTAGCCTGGAAAAAGAAGGCTCCAGGGTGACCTAACTGTGGCCTTCCAGTACCTGAAGGGAGCCTACAAGAACAGTGGAGAATGATTTATTCCTATTTACAAGCGATGGAGGGACAGGACACAGGGAATGGCTTCCCACTGACAGAGAGCAGAGTTAGATGGGAAATTAGGAAGGAATCCTTCCCCATAAGGGTAGTGAGGCCTTGGCACAGGGGAGTTGTGGCTGCCCCTGGATCCCTGGAAATGTCCAAGGCCAGGCTGCACAGGTCTTGGAGCCACCTGGGCCAGTGGAAGGTGTCCCTGCCCACGGCAGAGGTGGCACTGGATGAACTTTCAAGTCCCTTCCAAGCCAAACCACTCTGTGATTCTATAGCACGGCTCAACAGCCACATCAGGTATCAGTAACATATCTTCCAGCCTTGGAATTAAATCACAATTTAAATTAAATCACAAAACTAACAAGAATTCCCTCCTTTTCCATCCCCAGCGCCACGCGGGACGCGCCGCGCGGGGGCTGCAGTGCCGCTCCCTCGCCACCAGGTGGCGGCACCGCGCCAGGACCCAAAACTGGGTCCCCGACCCCAAAATTCGGCTGCTTCTCCCTCAGCCTCGCCGCTCCCACTGGAAGGGGAACTTCTCCCTGGAGCTGTGAACAGCAGCACAGCCAGGACTCGCCCTCCTGCCTCTCCTCTTCTGCCACAGCAGCCACAGAACCAGGAATGTGTCCCTGCTCCTCATTTCTGGGTGAGCACATTGGCCCTCACACCTGAGCAGGTAAAAGGTGGAATAACCCCTGGATGAAATCCAGAAGCACAGGATAGCTGGAGATGACCAGTCCAGCCTCCCTGGAGCAGGTGACACAGGAATGTGTCCAGGTGGGTTTGGAATGTCCCCAGAGAGGGAAAATCCACACCCTCCCTGGGCAGCTGCTCCATGGAAAAGTGCTTTGATTTCTCCTCAGCTAGGTTTACCCTTGACTTACACTTCCATCACCTCATTGTGATTCCATCCCACCTCTGTGGCCCCTCTGCTACCAAAAACCAGGCTGTGCAAAACCAGTACAGTTTTACTTATTCACATGTAAATTATGAAAAAATATCTAGTCTTAGAAATAGTCTAGCTTAGCAAACTCCAATTTATTTGGCACATTTAGGGTGGTATTCTATTAGTGTTTAGTGCAACATTCCTGTGTAATCTTTGTTACCAGGCTCTGTACATAACAATTGCCAACAAGGCAGAGAAAATGTTGGTAAAATAAACTTTTTCCAAGGCTGTTTAAAGCCAGTGAAGCAGCTTTGAGAGTCCAGGCAGCAGCCCCAGCCTCACCTGTGGATCCTACAGTGGGAGTGCAGGTAGGCCAGCCCCTGCAAGGCACCGTGGGTGATGGCAGCAATCTCCACTTCCTGGAGTGGTTTCTTGTGAACTATAGGGAAAAAAAAAACAAAACAGAAGAAAATAAATGGGATATTTTCCTGAGAAAGTGTTTCTTAAAGAAAGGAATCTCACCAATCTGCTACAAGGAGAAATCAGGGAAGAATTCTTCACTGTGAGGGTTTTAAGGTCCCTCCCAACCCAAACCATTCTGTGATCTTGGCCCCCAAGGAACACTAATTTTGGTAAACTTCGGCTTTGATTCCCTGTTTTGACTTAGATTCCCCTATTTCTTTGCAGGTGCTGTTCCAGTGCTGAGGTCACATCAACCACCTGTTCTAAAACCCATCTGTAATTATTCCTGCACACTGCAAGGCAAGGACAAAAGGTGATCTCTGCAGGATTTTATTATGGATATTCCAAGAACAGGCAGCCTAAAGAGGCACAGATTACAGGAACATACCTGTTCAATTTTATACCTTCATTTGACAAAATTAAAATGTGCAGGCCAACTATCTGTAGCACTGGGAAAGCCTCAAATTCTTCCTAGAGAATGGAAATTCTTAATAACTTAAAAAACAGTCATAATTATGTATTGTCACGAGCAGGACAGACAGACCACCTGTACCATCTGCAAAACCCCACTCTGTGAGCAAACAGCCTCCCAGCAAACTCGGGGGAGCACTAGCAAAAAGAAAATCCAAGATATATCAAACTTACCTTCTAGCAGATCAGAAGCTGATCCTAAACAGTACTCCATAACCAACTGCAAAAAAAGAGTACATCATGCTTTCAAGTATCTCTGGAAGCATTTTGAAATTAGAAAATGTCTTTACATCCCAAATTTAAATCACATGCTGGTTTTAAAACCCTGATAAAGGAAAAAAAAAGTAAGTGGTAGGTTTTGTTAGCTGTCCATGAGAAGATGTAAAATTTGACTTTATTTTAGTACTGTTCACCACAACCCCAAAGCTATTTCAGTGCCTGTGCTGAGGATTTGAGTGCTGCAGGGTCCATTTGCTCACTCACCCATGCTGTGTGCTCCTTCAGGTAACAGCCCTTGTACTCTATGGTGTTGGGGTGCTTCAGCTGCTGGAGAAACTTGACTTCTTTGATGATATCCTGCCATTTCTAATGAAAAAACAAAGCAAAAAAAGTATAAATATATTTCTCTTCTTAATCCTCCACATCCTTTCATGAACCACACAATGCAGGACAGTCTGAAAAGTGACCATAAAACCATTTTCCAGGAGGAAGATGGAAAGTCAGTGTTGCAGAAGCACAGCTGTAGATCAGTTGTCTGGGCCCTTATTGCACTGAGATACCCCCAAGATATATTTAACAGCTTGAGGACTGCCAAAATATTTTTTTCCTCATTTTAACTGCAAATACCTTTTACTTAAATGCTGTTGCTTTGCAAACTGAAGTGTTCAGTGGCCTCCAAGTTAGTAAGGAACTAGAGAGAGGAGCAGTGAGCTGCTCACCTTCTGTAACACAGCACAAAACCACTGACATTTGGGAGACCAATAAGCAAGCAAGGAAAAATGAATTTAAACCACCCCTGTTTGCTCTTAACAAACAAACACACCCTGCACATCCACACACCAGTCCAAAGGAACAGTGGGTCCAAGTTCCACACAAAAATAAGAGGAACAATTAATAAGCAACAACTGAAAGGAGACTGAGATTAGCAGGTCTTGGCAATTTGATGGATCCTCAAGAGTTTCAGAGAGATGTGGCCAGTGTGCCCTTAACACACTTCTTAATAAAATCATTTCTGAAACAAGCCCCAGCCAGGCATTCTGAATCCCCATTCACTTCCTTAAACTGAACTATTTGTCAAAATTTGCATAAACTCATTTTCTCTGCCCAAACCTCCAGGATTCCCATGGAAGGGAGCAGCAGCTCCTGCATTAAAAGCTGTTCTGCTGGGGTCAAAGCAGAGCTGCAGCTCATTTCACTGCTCAGATTTCCACTGGAGCTGCCACAGCTCCTGAATGCACAATTGCCTTTATTGCTCTTACCTCATTCGTTTGCTTTCCACTATAGGACATCTTCTTGACTGCCACCACCTCATTAGTGTGGGAATTCGTAGCCTGGAGTAGGGAAAGAGAAACATTGAAAAAAAATTTTCATTTTTCTCTCCTCTCCCCACAGAGTGAGCTGTGCCTGTGGCAAATGCAGGGGTTTTTTTTTCTTCTATATCCTTGCAAGCTCCTACACCTCAGAGACATCTTCCTCAGGATAAAATTTAGAACACAACTATTAGGAAACTTTCCCCTGATTTTTTCTGTCCAGATTCACTCATGTTCTTCCCTCAGACTTTGTGCTACTTCTCTATTAGTATGTAAAAAGCCCAACAGTGCACCTACTGAGAACCCTCAAAATACAGTTTTTTTGGAATTGCAGTAGAAACAGTTTTAGATGAACCTTTGGCAAAATGTTTGTCAAAGAAAAAAATTCAAGAGGTGTATCAAAATCTCCATGACTTCATCCAAAAATTCCATACAACACTGACATTCTTAAATAGTTATTTCAATTTCCAGTGTCAAGAAAATGATTCAACCTGGAATTGATCTAAATTAAAAAGCTTCCCTCTCACTGCACTAGATCTTAGTTTTGCAATGAAGATTATGCAGCCATCAAAATTCTACTTTTCTGCAGCCTGGATGATGTAGGGATGGTAACTGGAGGCTAAAAAATCAGCTTTGGAGAGATCTCTCCTTGCCTGGACTGGCACTGCCCTCATTTCTACTCGTTAAGGGTAAAAAACATCAAGCTTTTGGTCTTAAAACAGTTGCTGAAATCTCTGTACCTCCAACCATTTTTGGGACCAAAAAAAAAAAATTAGTGACAGTTAAAAGCTTAAACTAGAATAGAAGCTAAATGTGGTAAATCCTCCTTTCAAGTATTAACTAATGACATTTTTTGAGGCATGTGGGGACTTCAAAGAAAAACTGTGTTGAGTGAAACCAGTGGAGAGCAGGAATTACTGAAGGGAGGTGACACAGGCCCCTCACAGCACACACTCCTCAAATGAGACAGAGAAAGCTGAAAATGAACAACTCTGGGATAAGGCAAAGCCCTTCCCCACCACTTGCCACCCTGATTGAGCACAGAGAAGATCAAGAGTGTTTTACTCAGATGTATTCATGCTTTCTTTCTGCCTGTCACATTAATTCCAATTATTCCCCTGACCATGCTGTCTGTCCTTCCAGCTGGGATTTGTCACTGAAGGACACACTGCCACCTTCCCAGAGCTGTGGGGGAAGTTCTGGCTGCACCCAGAGCTTTGGGATGCTCCTGGCTCAGACAGCTCCCAGGGCTGTATGAGCACAGCTGGGAACAGCCACTTGCTGAAGCAGTTTTGGGCCTGTTTTGAGATGGTACCTTGAGAAATTATATTGTTATCCTTCAAAATACACATGAAATATTTATATAAAATAAAATTTAAGGTTTCTCTCCTTACAACAGTTCCCCCAACACCTCCATCACTTCACACAACTCCAAAGAGTGAATTGGAATGCTTAAAATAAATCATGCTACCAATGAGGTGTCAGGGATCTAATCTTCATACTTTACAGTCTGATATTCAGAAACCCATTTCCAGTGAACCTGATCCTCCTGAGTGGCTGACCACGGTTCCAAGCAGCTTTAATTTGGCTTTAACTCATTTGTTCAATATTGATTCTGTTTCAATCTCACTAATGCCAACTGGATTAGAATTATTTCCAATTACAGTATTTTGGATTTGGCTTTGTTTGATACCAACTATAAAAGCACCATTTTTCTCATTTCCAAATTAAATTCTCTTGCCTATATCAATGAATGCCACACATCCTTCCTGCTTGAATTCCCATTCCTCTGAGGACTCTCTCTTTGCTTTTGTCATAAAGGAATTTGCAGTGATTTCCAAGCATCTTGACAGTTTGAATTTTCAGCTGTTTAAATTCAACTTTCAGCATCAAACAGCACAAAACACCATATACTTGACCTGGATAGTTGGGTGAACTATTAAGACTATAATAAACTGCTACTATAAATACAGCTGGAACATTAAAGAGATCAGGAGTGGTTTGGAAACACTAATTTTTGAGATGTGATTTCACAAAACTAATGTACACAAAGCACTAAAAACTCAAGGAACTTCTTGAGATTTTTTTTTCTTTTACAAATGCTCAAAAGCCTCCAAAACATCACTCGAAACTATTCCGTTCTCAAAAAAAAAAAAAAAAAAAAAAAAAAAAAAAAAAAAAAAAGACAGAACTCTACTTACAAAGTAAACTGCTCCAAAACTTCCATGTCCAATTTCATGCAAACCCACGAAGATCTCCTCAGGATCATCTTTGTAGAACAGGTCAGCAATCTCCGGGTCCTTGGGCACCCCTTTGCGCATGTTGAAGCGTGTTAGGAACTGCTTTGTGCTCTCAAATCCCAGCCAATTTCTTCCTTCATCGACAAAGCCGTGTGCAGACAGCTCTCAGCACCTGCTGGGAAGGTTCATCTTTAATCTGCTTCCCTTGCACGTGTTTCTGTTCACACTTCTCTGACAGCAAAATGAGAGGAAACACTTCCAGCAGCAATAGGCTTCACCATTGCTTCCTCCCTCCAGCTAATTCTTTTTAATTATTAGTCCTATTTAGATAGAGAGATTAAAATGCATTCAGGATACAACAGCTCTTTATCTCACACAGGAAGCAAGTGCTGCAGTGACACTGAAGTCCACTTGAATTCAAGAGTCCTGTTGCTATGCAAAACATCCTGTGACAGGAGTTTGTTATTCTCCACGCGGGCTCCCGATGTGTCAGTTTTTAGACTCTCTCTGTTGTTCCTCCTACTTTCCTGGGCTGTTTGCTTTGTTTCTCTACTCCCAATTGCCAGCTGGTGCTGGTGGAAAAGTCAGCTGCTATTCTACAGCAACACTTTGCAGCCATGTAATTGTTATTTCTCTATTTATTTACTCAGAGCTGCGTGACAGCCAGTGCCACTGTGTTATGATTACTGCCAGCACATGGAATTGTTTTTGAAAAATCCTAAACTCCATCCTATAAGGCAGATCTTTGCCTCCTTAACATCTTCTTTTAGCACAGCACTGAGCTGCATCTAAATGAAGAGTTTCAGTATTCATCCCCAAAATTTTATTTGTGTGGGAAGGAAAAAAAAAAGGAAGAAACATCCTAATATTAGGAAGTTTTCCATTTCTTAACACAACATCTTGAAAAATCTGCATGGATTCATTAAATACTTTCATGCAAAGCATTGATGGGAGTTTTCACTCATCTGCTTTTGCCCTGTGAAATGCAGCAGAGGAGCTGCAGCTGAGTCACCTGGAGGAGTTTCTATCAGTCTGGAGCAAGTCTCAGAGCTACTTTCACATCCGTGGTTCAGCACCTCATTTACTGAGGCCACGTCTTGTCTGTGCACAACAGACTCCTGCAAACACACCAGAACCTTCAGCCTAAGCCATGATATAAACCAGGGCAACATTTAATGGGAGACCAGCTGAAATGTAACAATCAGATAAATTTATAACTAAAACCCACATAGAAAAGGCTTTAGAAGGTTTTGGACTTGTGGATGAAAGCAGAATTTTGGGCTGGTGCTGAGAGAGCTTCCCTGGCTCAGGGGCAGTGATGGAGCAAGGAGAGGGGCAGGGAGAGGAGCCCACCTGGATAACTGTGGCACCAACCATGCTCCGTGGCTCACATTCCTTCCAGCAGCATTGTCCCGTGCTCCCAGCCCTCCAGACTCTCCTACTCTGCAAAGAGAAACAAGGAACTGTATTCAGAAAAACGAGTTTGAAGTTTTACACTTTATTTTAACAACGAAAACACCACACCCAGTGACTACAGGGCTCCACTGGAAAGCACAAGAACTGGCTGAGAATGCTAATGGTGTGTCTTTAGGTGAGGATAAAACTTCCTGTGCTCCCAAGCCCTTGGAATATTTATCACTGGAGGACAGAAAACCAGGAACAAAGAGGTCAAATGCCAAGTTCTTTGGCTTTTATAAAGACTTTTAAGCTTGCTAGGGCACAGGAAGTTCCCTCTCAGACCCTGCTTTTTAGATCATCTATAAAAAGGACAAAGCTAAGAAAAAACCCTCATCCCTGAAAGTATCCAAGGCCATGGGGCTTGAATCAACTTGGGGTAGTGGAAGGTGTCCCTGGCCATGGCAGGGGGTGGCACTGGATGGGCTTTAAGGTCCCTTCCAGCCCAAACCATTCCATGATTCTGTGAGAAGCCAACAAGGTTGTGTTCATTACTTGACTCTGTGCTCTACCTGATGACACACAAGATTCCAGGGAAAGTCCTGGCCATTAGTAAATGAGTAAATTCCACCAGGGAGAGTATGAGCAATGAAAAGATGGAAAAGGAGTGCCAGCCAGTGAGCCCCACCAGCTGCCATCAGGGCACAGTGAGGGATGCCACCCACTGCCATGGGTGTAGGACACCCCCAAAGAGCCACTGCTGTCCCCTCAGGGGAAGGGGACACAGGGAGAGCTGGGGATCAGCCTGAACTCACGGAAAATGTTATCGTGTAGCTACAGGCACAGCAGAAATGCTTCCAAGTTAAGCACACTGCAATAGCTACATTGCCAAAATCTGAATTATTAGGCACCTGATTTAATGACACATTAACTCATGTTCTCCTTTATTAGGGAAAAAATAAATGAGCAAAAATCTTCCCGCTAATAGCTAACATTACCAAAAATGTTATTTTTGTTACTTTATCTCACCACAGACCAATACTATTGAGCTGTTAAAAGGCTATTTGAAGAGCACCAAAAAAAGGTTCTGCAATGTTCTGCTTTTTAAAAAAAAATCTCAAGTATAAGCAAAAGCCAGATGAATGAAATGATTATTCATTTTCAGCTGATTGGCCTCACCCAAAGGTGCTATATTTACTGCAGCCCTGCAGACAGGGCAAAGAATGCAGTATTTCAGGTCTGGCATTCTTCAGCCAACAGAAAAATCCATCTGGCTTTAAAAAAATGAAAACAAACTGCTGGAGAAAACAATTTATCCATCTCCAGTCAAATAAACCTTTCTGCCATTAAGAAAGCCTGTGCAGCTCCAATATTCAAGGTATTTCAAAAGGGAGGCTAAATGTCAATATTTAGAGTTAAGCCCTAAGTAATAATGTCATTTCCCAATTAGGGCAGACACGAGTAGTGAGGCAAGTCAATCCCACTAAATCTGCTCAGCAGGACTGGTATTGCCCAGAAATGAATATCAAAAAACTTCGGATGGAAAGTGAATCAGCAGCAACCTGAGTCCTGTGGATTGAACACAATGACAGAGTGATCCACAGGATCCCACAAACACTGAGAGTTCTCTGCACTGACCCCAGCACAGCACCAGAGCCACACTTTGGGTCTTGGACAGGGTAAAACACCACAGGTACACAGCACACATCATAACTCTCCTCTAGATATGTGGAGATAGAAATAAAAAGGGTTCAAATCAAGGCAGAGCACTGTAAGAGCTGAGTGCCATTAGTAGAAAAAACTTAAAGTCAAGGTATGGTCAATTTGAGCAGGTTCTTTTCATTATCAAAGTGATGAATTAATATACCAAGAAAGAATTTCTATTAGAAGCCCGATTTCTGCTTTTCATCCTTGTAAAGCACCATTAGAGACTCTGCATGTCCTGAAGACCTCAAAAGGAAACATCATTAATCACATTGGCAGTGACTTAGGGGAGTGACAAGTGACTCAAGATTTTGAGGGTTTGGGAGATCAGCATTTTATTCAGACAGCACAGTTCACTCAATGCTAAACAACCTTCCCATTTAAAAACCATGAATTAACTGCTTTTGCTACAGGTTTTTGCACAAGGGTTCTCTCCTATCACTTACAACTTCCAGGTGCTGAATTAATAATCAAAGAAAACACCTTGACCCGAATATAAAGAACAAAACACAACTGGAAGCACCTTTAAGAGGAGCTAAACTACTGACAATTCCAAATAATCCATGGATCTAAAATTATGCCAAAAAGATAAACTTAAGAACTCAAAGTGTGTGGCTTGTGTAAACACAGTTTGAATTGCATCTCACAGCACCATACGGCTGTTTCAAATGTGCCCAGAAACACATAAAATTAATTTTAGTTCCTAACTACACCAGGGTACTTCCCAAAACAAGGACAAAGTTTTCCACTCCATGCAGAAAAACAAACTACAGGAAATAGGGTGGACCAGCAGCAGATTCCACTCAGAGGAGGAGCAACATGACATGGCTCATGCACCCATTTTTAGATGCCTATTTTGAGGGGAATAAATTCACACCAGAATTATTTTCCCAAGAATGGCAAGCACAGAGCCCCATTTCACCACTTCAGTCTCTCCAAAACCTGCAATACAACGTAAAGAAGGAAATTCTGAGATAAATTCAGCTGATAACTGTCCTGAGTAAGAAACCTTTTTGACCTTGAAGTAAGGAAGGTGCTCAAGTTCCCCTGCAGCCCTCACCCACAAACTGACAATTTTGCTGGTTTGATTTGGGCAGTTTTTGTGTTGTTTTTAAAAGGCTGGAGCTCTTCCCTTTAACTGGTACACATGGCTGGCCAGGCCAAACACAAACACTTCACCCTGGGCTGATTCCTCACATGAACACCACAGCCTTGGATGAACAGCCCATTATTTTACAGAAGCTTGTTGGAGAATGCTCTGGAACCTCCAGATTTTAAACTGTTCAGTGTCATTTCTTTGATTGATAAGAATTACTTTCCCAGCTAACTTGATGTAAGTGAACTTTACAGATGAGTTTTTTCCAGGCACTTCATTCATTTTAATGCTTAAACCAGTCAGATTCACATACCTGGCACAGAAACTCAAGCTACGGACAGGACATACAAAAAGCACCTTCACTACGGCCTTTGTTTGCTTAAATTAAAATTAATCACCAATTCCAAGACACTCAGGAAAGATTTCACTCTGCTCTAGAAGCAGCAAGTGCTCTCATGTCCTTCCCTCAGATTTCTCTGAAGCACACTGGGTGTGGAAGCAGAACAGAAGGTTCACAGTGACCTTCAGCAGGAAGCACAAACATCGCCGAGCATTTGGGGCTCTGCAGGTACCAGGGCAGTGTGTGTGTCCCCAGGGCACACAGCAGGAGCAGCACACTCAGGAAATGGGGACACAGACTGCCAGCAAGGCTGGACAGGAACAGAACCACACCAGTGATCCTCAAACACCACCTCTACTGCTTGGCTTTTCCAAGGAACATCCTCCCAGAACATCCATGGCAATGCCACACACCGTGCCCATGAACATCTGGGTGCAAGCACAGCTGTTCCCCATCTCCAGCAGGAATTTCCCTTTGGAGTGTCTGCTTCTGCAGCTGTTTTGATTTAAGGTAAATTTAAGGGAGAAAACCTTTGAATGGGGTTCTTTTAGGAAATAGACTTAAGCAGGTGGTTTTTTTTAACTGGTTGGGGGAAATATTTTTTGGGGAGAAGTGGAAAAAAAACCCACAGTTTATTTAACAGGTAAAGTACTTTCTAGTACAAGAATGAACAATACTAAGTAACAAAACTTCTTACTGCTCTGAAGAGATGACAGATTCAGAAGAGTCCTTTTTGGGAGTAGCAGCCCTGCTCACTCAGCTGTTCTCAGTCCCTCCAGAGCTGGGAAATGTCACAGCCCAGGCCAGGCCTGGTAGGATACAGGTGTGAGCTCCCAGTGCACTTCTGGGTTTTTAGCCCAGAGCAGGTTTGAATAATTCCAAGAAAAAGGAAAAAAAAAAAAAAACCAAAAAACCACAGTCCAGGGAGCTTGTCTGTCTCAGCTGGCCAGCAAGTAACCAAGAGCACAGGAGAGCTCTGCTGCTGTGCCCTGCAGACAGCACAGTCCCTGGGAAGGATGCAGGGGAGCCAGGGCAGTCTCTGATGACAAACTCTGCACCTCTTCTTGTCCCCTTCACTCCTGGACCAGGCTTAAAGCTGCACAACTCAATATTCAGCACCAACAGAACACATGATTGGGGATACAAAAATCATAAAGTCACCCCAAGACATGAGAGCACCTGGAATTCCATCCCAGCACTGCTCGGGGTTCAGGGCTGTGTATCAGGTCATGGGGAGTTCACACATTACTCATGTTAATAAAACCCTGAATCACAACTCTGCTGACCCAGGCCATCACTGCGTGCTGCCCCTGGGGTATGAAATCCACCTAATAACTTGCAGGGCTTGTTGGAGATAAATACCTTCACTAAAACAGCCTTTTTTTCCTGGTGAGGAGCAATTGTTTTAAAGGAAACATTCAATTTATAATCCCCTATGACCACTATTTATGCCGCAAAAGACAAACTCATTAAAAAAATAAAATAAGACAACCTTATTAAATTAAAAAAAATATAATCAGCGGGCTTCAAGTCAAGAAACAATCAGTTTTAGTCATCCAGAATGTTTCAACAAGTATGAAATCAAGCCACAGGCCAGCCCTCCCCAAAGGAATAGTCCCAGTTGTGCTCTGGAATTCCACTGCTTTGCTAAATATGTGCAATCACAGCTACCCAAAATCGTGGGGTACAGCCTGGGCTTTACTTTAGAAGTCAAACAGCATCATTTTCACAATAGATATGTAATGAAAAAGTAAGAGGCATTGAGTGTAGCTTCCCAATAGTTTTCCTGTTGAATTTAAAACAATTTAATGAAATAGGTATGCCCTCGTTAAGTTTAAGGGTAATTAAAATGTCTTGGATTAGAACATGTATTTTACCATAAAATCTAGAGAGCATTTTTAGAGTTTCTCACGTTTATTTTAACAAGATTAAACACTTTCAGTCATGACATAAACCTTGCCTAATTAAAAATAAAGGAAAGAAAAAATGCCTCCTGCTCCCAGCAACAACATTTCATAATATTTCATCATGGCACACTTGAAATAATTCAGCAGTACATCTGGAAGGGAGGAAAGATCCATGAATCATTTTAAACCCTAACATACATAAGCCCAAATAGCATCATACACAGAAATACAAATTTCATCAGATCTTCTCACCAAAACATCTCAAAAAAGCATCACAGATGGGTCATGAAATTGAGAAAATTTCCTCCCTATTTTCATCATTTTTTTCCTTCTCTTTAGTGTTTTTATCAGGCTCTTCATCATGTTGCTTAAAACCCCAGACCATGATAAATTGATGAGTTTTATGCTGTGTGTGCTAC